TCTCCTTCTGAGCACTGGGAGGGCTGCTTTCCCTGGGCTGGGAGATTCGTGTGAGCAGAAGCCAATGGAATACGTTTCTTCACTCTTTTTTTTTTCTTTTTGGGTCACACTCGGCAATGCACAGGGGTTATTCCTGGTTCTGCACTCAGGAATTACTCCTTGTGGTGTTCAGGGGACCATATGGGATGCTGGGAATCGAACTCAGGTCGGCCGCGTGCAAGGCAAACACCCTACCCGCTGTGCTTATTGCTCCAGCCCCCCGTTTCTTCACTCTTAACTGCTACAAAAAACTCAGAAGATTCAAATCAACAAGGTGGCATCATTATTAAGATGGTGGAGGTTCAATAGCTCAGATCCCAGAAAGACCACAGTGAGGAATACTCCTTCTTGACCCTCCACCCACTCAGAACTACAGCACTGGCCAGAAATGCCACTTTATAATTTTAAGCCAATAAAATATTAGAGCTGTTTGTAACTTCCTGATACTTAGCTAATCCTGATTTAGGAAGGAAACAGGTGGGACAGAGGGCTTCGATTTCTGCTATTACTGGTAGTAGGATCACATGTGTCCAGCTTTGGGGGTTGTGGTCATGGTTAATAGCAATGGTTTTCCCAGTGGTTGCAGTATTGAGATTATACCACAGAAGCATCATAGAGCTTGTAAAGTTGGTGGTCAGACTAACTGCTGGTATATGAGTGGCAATGGCTGTGGTTTTTCTCATCAGGTTCTGTGGTGTGATTGGGTGTTGTTCCTGGAAACAGAGCCTTGAGTTTGTTTCCCCAGTCCTCTGAAAAAAGTCTGAGCCAAATGTCTCTTAACAAATTCTTTTTATGCTACAACTATCCACTATGGATCCTGTTATTTTGTAAATTAACAGATCCTGTTATTTTGTAAAATTACTGTATTTAATAAATTTCACGTCCCATCAGTTTTAAGAGGCAAATTATTTTATGAACAAGTAAAGAAATAAGAGGCAGAAAACAATTACATGCCATTCATTGTAAGCTATATTCTGATTTTCGAACTGTTTAAGCTAGAAACAAATGTGCTTAGGATCAGAGAAATATGTTATTGACTAAAAGAACTCTCTACCAGATGAAACTGACAGATAACTGATTACGGTTTTCAAAAGGATTGTATTAACTGGGAGGAAAAGTAAAATCACAACCAGTTCCCACAGAGGTTGTGATCTGTGATTGCTCAATATTAGAATAATCCCAAGACACCACTCAAAAGTATAGTATTAACCAGTACACTGCCCCTAAGAGAAATCTTCTTCAGTGACACCCTCAGCACAGAAACAGGGATCTCATGCTGAGGGCAGCACCAGGGTAGTCAGATCAGCTGACTGTGGAACAGTATAGTCAAGGAAGAAGTGAGCCAACAAGGAGGTGCTGAGATTTCTTGGCTCCATTATTTTCGTCGTTCTTCATGGCAAAGAAATATAGACGATGCCCTGGATTGGGAACTATAGAGGTCTTATTTGTGGTGTGTGTGCGTGTGTGTGTGTGTGTGTGTGTGTGTGTGTGTGTGTGTGCATTCTTCACTACTTTTTGTTTTTGCAACACCTGGCTATGTTCAGGGGTTACTTCTGGCTCTGTACTTAGGTGCCACTCCTGGCTGTGCTAAGGGACTATATGGAATGCCAGGAATTGAACTTGGGTCAGCCATGTGCTGTTGTACTATCTCTCTGGTCCATTTCTAAGTATGTGGAATCTCTTAGGGGGAAAGAAGAGACATTTAAATGTCATTTCAATCAAGGTATAGTATTATAAGATATAACACTCACTTTAATAAAGACTTGACTAGGGACTGGAGAGATAGCACAGCGGGTAGCATGTTTGCCTTGCACGCAGCCAACCTGGGTTCGATTCCCAGCATCCCATATGGTCCCCTGAGTACCACCAGGAGTAACTCCTGAGTGCAGAGCCAGGAGTAACCCCTGTGCATCTCCGGGTGTGACCCAAAAAGCAAAAATAAATAAATAAATAAATAAATAAATAAAGATTTGACTAGATTATAAGGAACGTTGTCCAGACGACTTGTATTTGAAGAACAGAAGTCCTGTGATATAGGGTCCTAGCTCAGAAGTTGCATTCCATTAGAGAGGAAATAAATTTATTGGCATAAATTTGGCAGGATAGTTGGAATATTTAGGGCTTTGTGTGTGTGTGTGTGTGTGTGTGTGTGTGTGATGGTCAGAGGATGGCTATAGTGAATACCTGTCATTGTGTTTGTTTTTTTTCTTTTTAAAATATCTTTTCTCTAAAATCCATGTGGTTATCATGTGGGTCATCTCAGGTAACCGGATCCTCGTCTATCCCTTGGCCACAGTCAATAGGCCCAGAATTAAGCATCTAACTAGGTCAAGCCAATCAGAGTTCTTCCTGAGGAATTTGCAATTTTACTCTATCAGAGTAAAAGGAAGTAAGTATCCCCTCAGAGGGCTAGACAATAAGACTTTAAAACTCAGGGGTTGTTGGAAGTCATGCTTTTCACCCTATTGGCCAGAAGGACAACAGAAATCAGTCTGGAGCAGGAATGACAGAGACAGGGGGATAGGAGCAGCGGAAAGGGAAGTGAAGGAGACTGGCAGGAAGTGCTCAAGATGAGAGTGAAAAAGAATTTAATGATTTTTTTTGGTTTGTTTTGGGGCCATACTAACCCTGGCCATCAAGGACCAAACAGGGTTCCAGGAATTGAACCAGGATCAGCCACGTGCAAGGCAAGCACCTTACCTGCTATACTATCTCTCCAGCCCTACCCGCATCCCCATGACTTTTGAGTCTTCTGATTTTTTAGTATCTGAGGGTGAATATATCTTTTTGCTTAAACCAGTTATTTTTCCTGAGCTCATCCACTCTCTGGTTTTTCTACTACTGTTTTGCTGAAACTCACAACAAATTATCTTCAGTTATGTTTTACCTTTCTGCTGATCCTTGGATCTATTTATCCACCTTTCAATAGGAGATTTTAAGTTGGGTATCCAACAGATACCTCAAATTCAACATATCCAAAGTTGAACTCATAACCTCTGTCCGTATCCCACCTTATAGTGTTCAGTCTCAGTAGAGATAACATCACAGTACCCATCACCCACTGAGGTTTAGCTCAGATTTCCCCCACTTCTTACCTCTCAGACATTCCCAGGTTTAGGTCTGAATTCTGCCTGCTGTCTCTGCTCCGGTTCCCCCACTTCCTTTCAGTCCCTTTGTCATTACTCTTTGTCTTCACTCTCAAAAATGCCTTCACCCCAAATCGTTCTAAATTCTGGATATGATCACATTACTTCTCTGCTCAAAATTCCTCAGCGGTTCCCTACTGTTTTCTGAATAAAAATCTCAACTGCTGCAGCTGGGTTGCAAATTCACTCACATTACACTCAGCCGTGCTATGCTAGAAGTTTCTGCTGTTTCCTAGCACTGATTTGATCTTGCTCACTAAGCTCCCGCCCTGCTGGGAAACAGGGGCAGGGGAACTAAAATTAATCCACTTTGGGGCCAAACTCAGTAGGGTCCAAACTTTTATTCCAGTCAGTCTCTATGTAATTCAGCAGGTTCAGATGACTCAGTTTTCCCAAATAGTTCACATCTCTTTCTCATTGTCAAGAGAGTCCTTGGCTTTATAGAGAACTATGTGAATGTCACCGCATTGGAGGAAGGGCCCCCTCAGCCACTTGGTCCTTGTGCTTCTGTAGGATGACATTTGATGAGAGGTGGTGGGTCTGGCAGAGATGACTCAACGGACTAGGACGGGAAGTGGAGAGGTAGCTATCCCTATAGCCATCTTAAGATATGATAGCTAGAAACAGAGGCTAAAAGAGTAACTTGCCCCAGAGTACAGTAAATTAGACATAATCTGGAATTCACAACGCATGGATTGCCACAGGCGTTTGGATCTGAGACTAGAACTCCAGAGAAAAGTTAAGGTTGGATTTGGGAGCGCTAAGTCTGTAGGGTACCTGGAAGAGTCTTCGTAGGTGTGCGCGGAGTGTGAAGATTGGGCTGGGAAGAGCGTCTGGTTCAGAACTCAGGAAATGACTGACACCCTGCCCAAGTTGGTCTTCTAGCATGGACAGTTATGCTTGGTCCTAGTGCAGCCAGGGCTGAGGCAACCCTCGGGCACCCCCTCAGTCCCAGGGCAAATCAGGAACCTAACCGGATTACCAAGACACTGCAAATGGGTCCCAAGCACCTGGATCGTGGGCACTAGCCCCGGATTCCCTGGGGCCGGGGAATGAGGGTCCCATTTACAGACCCTCCGAAAGGGGAATACAGTGCCCACCGCCAGGGATGGGGTAGTGGGGCTGAGGGCACAGGGAGCATGTAGGGGGCTTCCAAGAGGATGTTTAGTCTCCGTCTAGGCATGGGGTCCCAGGTGTGAAGGGGTGGTCTCCTCAGATAAGGGGGCTTTTCCCAAATGTTAGGTGCGCAGCTTTTTCTTCAGGTGAGGAATGATGCAAGAAATCCCCGCAAGTGGGTGGGCCTCACCCTCGCGCCCTTCGCTCTGGACCAAGAGCGCCACAGTAGCCTTTGCAGCCGGGGAGGGGTGGAGGGAAACAGAAGAGACCGAGACCCCCCGCAGGGACACGCCGATAGGAAAAGACAAAAGACGGGGGACGCGAGAGACGCGCGCAGAGCCCCCCGAGGGAGACTCCTGGGAGACGGGGTAGAGAGGCTTCCCGCCCCCGCCCCCCGCCAATACAAAGGGGCGCGCCGGTCCACCCGGCGCACGGCCAATGGCACGCAGGGGACCCGGCACGGCCAGCCAATGGCGTGGCAGCAACGACCGGGCAGGCTCCGCCCCACTCTGGGGCTCCGCCTCATCAGCCTCGAGGGGGCGGGGCTTTCGCCTTTTTAATTTTTTTTGCGACCCGCCGAGTTGAGCCGAGCCCGGCCGAGCCCAGCCGAACGCAGACGAGCGCAGCCGAGCGGAGCCGAGCCCAGCCGAACCCCGCGCCCGGGGCCGCCTCCGCCCGCCCGAGCGGCGCCGAGCGAACGAGCGGCCACGGCCGCGGAGGAGGCGCCGCCCCAGGGGGAGGAGGAGGTGCCCGCTCGCCGCAGACCGCCCGCGGCCGAGGCCGCCCCGGTGGCGGCGCGGCGGGAGCGGCCGGCCAGGCTGTGCGGCCCAGGGGCAGGGCCGGGGGAGGGGACGCCGCCCTTGCCCCCGCCCGCGGGCTACCGGGACCCTCCCGCGGGCGCGCACCGGGCTGCAAGCACAGGTAAGGCTGGGGGCGGGGGTGGGGGGTCTCCCCGCCCCCGCCCCCATACGGACACGGGGACCGGGAACCGGAGACCCAGAGGCGGGGTGGCCGGGGAGGGGTGGAGGGAAACAGAAGAGACCGAGACCCCCCGCAGGGACACGCCGATAGGAAAAGACAAAAGACGGGGGACGCGAGAGACGCGCGCAGAGCCCCCCGAGGGAGACTCCTGGGAGACGGGGTAGAGAGGCACGTCCGGGGAGGGGGGGTTGGTTGGAGGACACGCCGCTGGGGAGGAAGAGAGACCCCCCTTCCCGCCCTCCCTCCCCCCTCATCCATACACACGGGGAGGCTCTCAGAGATGGGGCGACAGAGAGACCCACCTACGGACGGACCGCGACTGCGTTCGGAGGCACACAGGTGGGTGCAGAGGGACGCGGACACGCGGACACGCGCCGACCCCCCCCTCGCGCCCCCCGCCCCCGCGAGAGGCAGCCGGTCCCCGGCAGCGGCAAGCCCGGCTGCACACTGCCCGGCACCAGCACCCCGCCAGGCCTCCACAAAGTTCCCTCTGTGTGTGCTGGCCGGCCCTCTGGGCGGGCTGGACCAAGCGGCCGGCGGCCCCGAGCCCTGCTCGCTGGGAGCTGCCCAGGCCACACGGTCACATTCCCATCCTCCACTCTCCCACCCACTCCCATGGATGCTTGGGGGGTGGGGGTGGGGGCGGAGTGGGGGGCACTGGAAGCTCAGTGGGCAGGGCCAGACCCCACTAAGGGGCGTGAGATAGATGCTGTCGCCTCTAACGTCCCCTTGTGGATACTACCCCCCATCCGGCTGCCCAGAGGCAGGCCTGGGGGCTGGGGCCTGGAGTGTTGGGGGCTGTTCAGGCCTGATGGGACCCAAAGTCCTCCATCAGGGGGCTCAGGGAATGGGAGGGGGCCCTCTCTCTCATGCTCTCCTTGGAGACCTCATGTTTCTCCTTTGCTCTGTGCCCCCTTCCCCCCCACCCCTCACCCCTCCCCAGGCTCAGGACTGCTGACAAGGCCTCCACATCCCAGGAGTCAGTGAACGGACAGGAGCGCCCCCTCGGAAGGGAAGGCCCGCCGCCCCAAGTCCACCTCCCTCGGCATGGGCTTGGCCACTGCGGTGGCCTGGAGGTGCCTGCTGCTCTGAGGGTCGCCCGTCATGGGGGCAGCCCTCTCCCAGGGTGCCCTCATCGCCATCATCTGCAACGGCCTGGTGGGCTTCTTGCTGCTGCTGCTCTGGGTCATTCTCTGCTGGGCATGCCACTCCCGCTCAGCAGACATTGACTCGCTCTCCGAATCCAGCCCCAACTCCAGCCCTGGCCCCTGCCCCGAGAAGGCACCCCCGCCCCAGAAGCCCAGCCATGAGGGCAGTTACCTGCTGCAGCCCTGAGCGCCCCTGGTCCCCCACTCCCCTGGAGTCAGGGGCCTGAGCCTGGCAGTGGGGACCCAGAACCCGCCTCTCTGGAGCTGGATGTAGCAGCCTCGCGTCTCCGGGCACTGGTGGGGGCTGAGAGTGACGGGCCTGGGAGGACGGTTCCGAGCCGGTGCTGGGGCGGGGACCGTCTGGACTCTGCTCTGTCCCAAGGGCTAGGCTGATCACCTCTGGGAGGCCCCCGGGGTTGGGGAAGCGAACTGGAATCCGTGGCAATAACAGGAGGCTGTCTCAGCAGGGCCCCTCCTCGGGTCCTCCCCTTGTTTGCTGGACAATAAATGGAACTGTGGCTCTACCCTGAGGTTTTTCTTCTCTGCATGAATGCCCCATAATAGCAAAAAAAGAAAAAAATAGTATGGGGTGGGCTTCCCAACAAGTTTATTTGTGCAGAGGAGGGGGTGGGTGGGTCATGGTGGGGGGGAGGTTCTTTGGGGAGGTTCTGGGACAGGGTCACCAAGGCACATTTGGGGCCCAACCATGAATGGGGTCACATACTGGGGGGCTCATTCAGGGCCTGGGGGCTGGGTTAGGGGCCACAAGTACCAGGAGATTAACAGGGCGGGACAGGTCAGTTGTCAGGTCTTGGTCTTCACTTCCCTCACCAGGTTCAGCAGTTTGTCAAATTTGGCGATCTCCACCGCGGGGCCCTTTTGCACTTCTTGCCCCTTCTTCTCCTGCGAGGAGAAAGGGTTAACACATGGAGGCCTTGTCTCTGGGCCCCAGCATCACCTCCTGCCCACCCCTCCCCAGCCCAGTTACATGGTGTGTCTTGGGGCTTGGGGCCACACTCAGGAGTGCTCAGGGCTTAGTCCTGGCTCTAGGCTCAGAGATCATTTTTCAGTAGGTCTTGTGGTATGATCCGTGTTGCTGGGGATTGAGCCGGGTTGGCCATGTGTTGTGTCCAGCCCGGGCCAGCCATTTGCAAGGCAAGTCCTTGGCTCCTGTGCTATCTGTCCAGCCCTGCCCAGTTGGATTCTGGATCCCTGCCTCACCACCATGGTCCTCTGGGACTCTCAGGGGGACACAGGACCCCGAGAGTGATGGGACAGAAGGACCCAGCCCGGGAGCTGTCAGACCTTGGGACCTGGGCTCACCCTGCTCCCAGGAAGCTCCTGGGCTGAGTTCAGGAAGGAAGGAGATGGATGGGGGATATCCGCAGAGGGAGCAAGGTGCGCTTGAAGCCACACGGGCCCTCATCCCCTTCTCTAATCTAAAATCTGCAGGGCAGAGGTGCCGTTTGGGGTCAGCTGCTGAATCAGACCCAGCCCAGGCAGGGAAGAATGTGAGGAGACATCCAGGAAACAAGACGGGGACCCCCTCCCTTTGATTCCGGATGTCTTTGGGGGACAGACCCTCAGAGGAGCAGATCCTGGGTGTGATGCTCACCCCCACCACAGGGCACTTCAGTGCTTTAGTTGGTGAGCTGGGCCTGAGGAAGAGTCTAGGTGCTGGGTGGTGGGTACCACTCACAGCCCCCTGAGCTGTTGGCACCCCAGCGCCCACCTGCCCTCCCTTCTGTCCAGGCTGGGCTGGGTTGAGCTGGGGCTGTTGCCACTTCCTGCCTTTGTTGTGTTCCAGAGCCCCCGCCCCCCACAACCAGCCACTTGTGCCCAAGGCTCACAGGCACCTGCCCAGCCTTGCCGGCCAAGGGCCCAGCCTGGATCTAGCCTGGCCCTCTCCTGACTGCTGACACCACGCGGAGCTCAGCTTTCCTCCTGGAGTGACCCCTGCACCTGCTCCCAATTCTCTCTCCCCACCCGCTGTTGCCCCAACCTTTGCCCAGGCCCAGCTCAGCACAACACCAGGGATGCAGAGCAAAGGTGTCCTTCCCTGTCTCTTCCCACTACCCCTCCCGAGCCAAGCCTTGTTTGTTGTTGTTATTTTTTGTTTTGGGGGCCACACCCAGCCGTACTCAAGCGGACTCTTGGCTCTTGAGTTCAGGGGTCACTCCTGGCCGTGCTTGGGGCACCACATGGGGCGCCACTGGGTTGGCCCTGTGCAAGGCTATTGCCGTGGCCCCCACAAGTTCCTCTTCCTGCCCCGTCCTCTGGGAGTCGGGGGACCTTGCCTTCAGTTCCCTAGAGGACACAGGACCCTTGCCATGTCCAGAACCTCTGTTCCTCCATCCCTCCTCTACACACACCTCATCTACAGGGTTAGGGAGCTAAGAGCTCTCAGCCCGCAACGAGCTGGGCTTTGACATCAGTGATGTCAGAAGCCTGTGGCTTCTGTGGCCCAGGCTCTGGGATAGGGACGGGAGCTGCCGCCTGCAGGGATGGCAGGAGAGTGTGCAGGCTGCTAGGGTGATGGCAAGTGCACAGGAACATCCTTCCTCGCACCCCTGGATGTGGCCCACACAGGTGACTCCGAGGCCCCGGTAGGTCCTCCTCTGAGTTGGAACTGTGTGAGATCCTTGTCTCCTGGGGTCTGGAGGGCTGGACGGGGTGGGGCGTGCCCGCATCCTACTCCCTCTGGGAGTTACCCAAGGGGATGGCTATCAGTCCTCCCGCTGGGCTGTCCAGCCCTGCCAGCTCGTGCCTGGGGGCTCTCCCCCGCCTAAATGAAGAGCAGATTTGATTCATTCCACAAACTGTGCAAACTGTGCTGCTTCCTTCCCCCTCCTGGAGACCAACTAGCTGGGCTCAGCAAAGAGCTTCAGACCACGCCTGAGGCTCCCCCCCCCCCCCCCCAGCCCACCACAGCCTCTGGGCCACAGCTGCAGGCGCTTAACAGCCTTCTGAGTATTTATAGCCAAGTCCACCCCCTCCCCCAGCTGGCTACAATTATGGGCTGGGCCAAACTCCCAGTCCCTGCCCGCCCTGGCCGAGGGGGTGGAGGGGGGAGAGCAGCCAGGCTGGCAACGGGGTGAGGGTGCAGGGCCATGGACCCCCATCTTGGTAGTGGCAATGCAGACAGGTGTCAGCGGCTCTGAGACCATAGACCCTGCCCCAAGCTGCGGCCAGTGTCTCAAACCGCCACCAGGATGGATGGCCATCGGAGCAGCTAAACCTACTCCAGACCTGATCAGATCCTGACCAGGGAAGCTGGCAGAAAGCAGCTTTCATGTTCTCAACTAGCACCCACATGGGCAAGGCAAATCCAGGGTTTTGATTTTTTTTTGGGGGGGGGAGGTTGTTTCTTTTTGGTTTGGGGTCACACCCAGGGTTACTCCAGAGTTGGTTCTTAGGTGAGGGTGGGGGTAGGGGTGTTAGCATTTGGGAAGGCCATTAACCCAGGTCAGAGGTCACTAAGCACAGGGGTGGGGTGGGGGGGAACCACGTGGTGATGGGGATCAAACTGGGCCTCCCGCATGCAAGGCTCCAGCAGCCCTGTGAGCCGTGGCCTGGCACTAAGGTCTGTGTTCTTTAGTCTGAACTGGGACTCAGAGATCTCACTTTGAGGTCAGGGCTCTGGGTTCACCGGCCTGTGTCTGGCACCCTGGGGTTCTGGGCAGGGTCTCGGGTCATTAGAGAAGCCATCAAGGAGTCAGAGCTGAAAGGAGGGCGCCCTGCTGCTGACCTAGTTCTCTCCTCCGGCTCCTCTCTGCCCTCCCCGACACACCCAGCCACCACTGCCAAGAATACAGTGACTGAGCTCGAACCTCTACCTGGGTGACCTGATCTGGACGTGCTTTTGTGCCTCCCGCTGTTCTCAGACCCACAGAGTCCCCTGCTCACCAGATAGCTCCCTCCCACCCCAGCCCTGAGTCCCCTGCTCACCAGATAGCTCGTCCCGCCCCCCCCCCAACCTCCCCCCTTCCCACCTCGGCAGGCTCAACTCTCATCTCAGACCACAACGCTTCTCCTCTCTTCTTCTTATTATTTCCCCATGCCCTGCAGCACTTGTGGGGGAGGGGGGATAGGGCTACCACCTGTTCAGTGCTCAAGAGTCACTTCTAGCAGTGCGGGGGTGGGGTGGGGGTGGGAAACCATGTGGTAGTAGGAATGAAACCCTGTGGCTCCCACATTCAAAGCATGCACTCCAGCCTATTGAGCCATTTCCCTGCCCCCCCCCCCCCCTTTTGGTTTATGGACCATAACCAGCAGTGCTCAGACTCTACTCCTGGCTCTGTGTCAGGAATCCCTCCTGGCAGGGCTCAGGGGACTGTATGCAGTGCCAGGGTTCAAACCACTGTCTTAGCCAAAGCCACTGTATGTAAGGCAAGTGGCTGCTTATTTTTTTTTTTTGGGGGGGGGTGATACCCAGAGGTGCTCAGGAGCTATTCCTGGCGCGGTGCTTAGAGGTCACTCCCAGTAGTGGAACAGGAGATCATGTGGTGCTGAGGATTTGAACCCAGGGCTCCCGCATGCAAAGCCTGTGCTCCAGCCCACGGAGTCACCATCCTCCCCCTATCCTGTTCCTTAAATAAGGAACAATACCACACTTGCCCCAGGTACTCCTCCCAAGCCAGATAGCGGGGGACCAACCCCTGGTTCTTCCCTACTTCCCTTCACCCCCACCATCCTGGAGACTGTCTCCTGAGACAGCCCCCCCCAAGCCTGCCCCCTACCTTGGGCATCTTGCGCAGGTTGGGGGAGAGCTTGAGGCAGGTGATGTGCCCACGGTCATCACCCACGATGATGATGGGGTGAATAGGGTTGAACTGCACGTGTGTGATCTTGTTCTTCTTTTTGGCCACCACGGGCTGGCTGCAGATGGCTTCATACTTGTTGACAGATAAGTCAAACACGTGAACCTGTGGGGAAGCAAGGGGTTCAGCCCATGCGGTGGGGCCCCACCCAGCCCGGCACCCTGGAAGGGGGATGGGGTGGGGTGGGGTGAGAGAGGGAATCTGTGTCAGTTTCCAGTGTCCCGGTGGTTGAAGGACTCAGAAGAAAGAGTCTAGGAGAAAATTCAAGTCTAGACAGAATCAAGAAGAGTGGCTAGTGTTTATTGAGCATTCACTAGGTACTAGGTTTAAGTACAAGCTGGTGCTGTGTCCAAGGTGCCATATCAGGTCAGCACTGTTATTATCCCCGTTTTATAAACAGCAAGCAGAGGATCTTCCGTCTGGCTAGTAAGTGGCAGAACTAGGCTTGACCCCATGAATACTGGCAAAAGTGCTCCACGCACACTTGATCTTATCCTCACCACAGCCGAGGTGCGAGTCCTTGATAAGTCTTGCCTGGACGAGCCTGGCGGTGTCCTAACTGGTCTCCTTGCACCCACGCTGGCCCTTCCACAGTCCATCCCGAGGGCGGGAGACAAACTTCCACCTTTGGGGAAACTCCTCCAGCCAATTCCCTTGGCATGTGACCAATACCCACCCCCCCAACCTTTCTCCCAATTTCTCACTCTCATCTTCCACTCTCCTCCCTTCACTTGCCAGACCCCAGTCACATTTGCCTGCCTGTCTCTTACAACCCTCAAGCGCATTCTCACCTCAGGATCTTTGCACTAGCCGTTCCCTCTGTGTGGGAGCACCCCCAGGTCATACGTACCTCCACTTCACAAGGCCAGTCCTCCCTTATTCCAGCGAGCTCTCAAGGAGACTATATGGCCCCTTTCTTTTATCCTCCCTTTGTCCCTCACCCCACCATAGGGACCCCGGGGATACTGGTCTCTATGGTGGGGTAAGGGACAAATGCTGGTGTAAGGAGAGTCCCCAAAAGTCCAGCAGCTGGGAGCAGTATTCCAGGTGAGGGAATGGAAAGGCAGGATTGGGGGCCCCCAAGGCACCCCTAATTGGATTCAGAATATAACCCCTGCATCCCCAGGCCCTAGATGGGAACCGGGCAGCAGCGTGAGCAGTGAGCACTATTGCCACTCAGCAACTAGGTGACAGACTCAGAGCACCGTGTAATCAGCATGTTTTTTCCTGGGCAGATGTCACTCCCTTTATGCTAAAGTCCACAAGGGGAGCTGGATTTGTGTCTCAGAATTGTCTCAGAAAACATCTTCATTTCTGAGCTCTCGCCAGTTCTTTACAAAAGAAAAAAAAAATTCTTTTTTTTTTTTTTTGGTTTTTGCACCACACCCAGCAGAACTCCGGGCTTCTGTCTCTGCACTCAAGAAATTACTCCTGGTGGTGTTCTGGGGACCATATGGGGATGGTGGGGATTGAACCTAGCCTCTTTCCAGCCCCCTGTTGCCAGTTCTTAAAGTCTTGCAGATCCCTACCATCTCCTGTCTCAGATCGGTGCACTTTCACCCGTTGATGGGAGCCTCAATGCCTTTCGGACACTCTCCATCAATCACTGGCACCAGCTCCCCACCCTTCCCAGGGCTCCAGGCCTCGGCTGCAGGGGAGCAAACCACTCCTGAAGATCCCTCACTCCCCACAGTCCTCTCCTTCAAGGCCAGCAGCCCCCCCTCTTCCCCCTTGTTCCTTGAGGCACCATGGGATGAAGAAGCCCTCTGAGGATGGGCTCTGGACAGCGCGACCCTTGAGAAATTCCATCCCCGTCCTCTATCTGGGCACAGGGCAAGCTCCCTGAGAGGAAATGTCTTTTTTGTTTTGTTTAAGGGCCACACCTAACATGCTCAGGGGTTACTGCTGGCTCTGCACTTAGGGGTCACTCCTGGCAGGCTCAGGGGACCATACGGGGAGCTGGGGGAATGGGAGTCTGATCAGCTGTGTGCCAGGCAAGTGCCCTACCCCCCCCCCCCATAACTATCTCTCCAGTGCCCGCAGGGGATGCCTTGAGTTCTCTCTCGGTCTGGGTCCAGGCAGGGGACACTCACTTTCCCGTTGGTGGTGACGGCTGCAAACACTGTGGAAGAGTAGGGGGCCCAGGCCACGTCCCCCACGGCAGCATTGAGGTCATAGATGAACATTGGGGTCCTGTCGGGGCAATGAGGGGCAGAGCTCATGGCCCCCAGGACTCCTTCTGCCTGAGCCCCAGAGCCCTCGCGCCCCGGGCAGGCTCCTCACTTGACGGTGTGGTCCCAGATCTTCACCGTCCAGTCAGAGCTGCAGGACAGGAAGACCTTGGTGTGGTATGGGTTCCAGCTCAGGGCGTCCACTGTCATGTTGTGGGCGTCGAAGATGTCGAGGTACTCATTGGAGTAGGATTTCGAGCACTAGGGGGAGGAAAGAGGGGGTGGGGTCAGGGGGGTCAGGGATGACCCCAGGGGTCAGTGGCAATCACATTCCTGGGGTGGGGGTGGCTCTGGAGCACCGGGACATGAGATTCCTCTGGTGTCCCCTGAAAGGCTGACAGGCTGCTGGCTGCATGCCCTGTCCTCAGCACAAAGGAGAGTGATTGATTATGCCACCATCCTGACCGCTGATAGAAAAGTGCTGGGTCTGCACAGGGCACCGGACCCCCAGCATTGGGCCAGGCAGAAAAAGCCCTGCTGGGTGGAGCAGGTCTGGGAAGAGATCAGGTGCAATGTGGTTCAGCTCACTCTGAGTCCAGGCCAAGGTGTATGGGCAGACAGAACCCCAGACAGAATCCTGGAAACGGTGGCAGAAACCTGCAGCCACGTAATAGCAGGTGCAGACACAACCCCATCCAGCCCTCCTGCAGAACCCACCTCCTGATTTCCCACTGGGGGGTCCTGTGAGGCTATTAGGAGCCCCTTATCCCTCCCTCCTCTTCACAGCTGCCTCTGGGGGGAGCTGCGAAGGGGTGGGAACTTCTTTTGCATTCCATCCAGGCCTCGCTGGGCCTCTGGGGCTCAGGGAGGCTGCCTGTAATTAACATTCTGAATCTGGGATCCTAAGAAAAGCTGCCGCAGGGCTATTTCTGGCCGGACAGCAGTGGGGAAGGACGGTCACCTACTGACACTGCGACCTGGCAGAGATTGGCCAGAGGTTCCGTCCCGCCAGGCAGGAGGCACTGGCATTCAGAGAGAGATTTTCTGATCAGTTGAGGTTCAAGTCTCCTCCAGGAAATATCCCAGAAAGTTCTAAGTCTTCCACCCCCCACCCCACTCCCACACTTCTATCTTCTCCATGTCCAAGCAAGGAGGGGGGGGGGGAGGAGGAGAAGGCCCAGAGGGAAGGAAGCTGAGCAGGATAAAGGTTGTCCTCTGCATTCTCTTTTAGTTTTGGGGATCCACACTCAGCTGTACTCAGGCTTACTCCTGGCTTTGTGCTGGGGATCAATCCTAGCAAGGCGACCCTAAGAGTGTCAGGGATTGAACCTGGGTCAGACACATGCAAAGCAAGCGCCGTACTGCTATACTCTGGCTCCGGCCCCAGCCGTCGGCAGTTTTCATCTTTCCTACCTTCAGTCCCTTTTCCTGCTCCACAGAAATGTGTTCTCTAGGGCCTAGAGAGTCCAGGGCTTCAGGTTCTTGCCTTGCATGCAGCCCACACCAGTGCAGTTCCCGACACCACACATGGTTCCTGAGAACCACCAGGAGTGATCTCTTAAGCACCAGGAATGATCTCTAAGTCAGGAGTAAATTTTAAGCATAGCTGGGTGTGGCCCTTATCCCCCCCAAATTACAACAAAAAAGAAGGGAAAAAAAGCCTTCTCATGTGGTTGGAAAGATAATACAGAGGTTAAGACAATTGCCTTGCATCTTGTTGACCTTGATCAGAATCCATGACATGATATACAGTTCCCTACTACAGAGTACAACTAACCCTTCCACACTGCTAAGGTGTGGCCCCCCCTCCAAGGGAAAGAGAGAGAGAGAGAGAGAGAGAGAGAGAGAGAGAGAGAGAGAGAGAGAGAGAGAAACACATTCTCAGCCAGTCTGCAGAGTTAGTTCAAAGGCTGCTATGTTTGCTGTGCTTACGCATGGTCCCCCGGCCACAGAGCCTAGAGCAGCCCCCAAGCACCACCAGGGCTAACTAATGTCCTGTCTCCCCCCAAGAGCCTTAGAACCCAGGGACTGGGGGGTGGGGGATGGTGTGTGCAGCTGACACCAGCCCCAACCAAGGCCAGAACAGAGTTTCTGAAAAGCGGAAACCTCCTGGACTCAGTTTCAGCAGTCCTTAAAGGAGCAGCAAAGCGCAGTGGGGGGGGGGGGGGGGGGGGCGGGGCACTGGAGGGCAGTGGCGGGCAGTGATGGGCAACAGTGGGGAGAGGGGGAGGCAGCAGGGGAGCAGTAGAGCATAGTAAGGAGGCCAGCTGGGGACAGTATGCAGGCTAGCGCAGGTCAATGGGGGGCAGTGTGGGGGTCACTGGGGTGGCAGTGTGGAGGTCAGCAGGGTGCAGTGCGCCCTACCTTATAGATCTTGCCCTCCTCGGTGCCCACTATGAACAGGTAGTCGATGTCTTTGTGGAAGTCAAAGGCGGTGCCACAGCCTGGGGAAGAGAAGCCGTGACCTCAGCAGGGTTGGGGGCTCCGGGGGGCGAGGCGCCCCGCAACCCCTCCCCTGCCGGCGCCCTTGGAGACAGGGCAGGGGCGTGGCCAGCCCGAGCAGACAGACACAAAGCAGCGGGCCTGTGCGCGCGGCCGCCGCCGGGAGCCGGGCCTGGGTAAACACGGCAGGGACTGAGTTAGAGAGGGTCGGGGTCAGGGTAAACAGGGACAGGCTCTGCAAACAGGGACAGCGGCGTCTGCATAAACAGGGAGGGGTTGAGTAAACGGGGACCCGGGACTGGGTAAACAGGGGCCTCATCTGCATAAACAAGATGGATCTGCATCTCGCCACCTGAGCCGCCTCCCGGGACGGGCCTGCGCGCAGGGCGGGCACCTGTCTAAACAGAGGGGGCTGCACTGGGCCTGCCAGTGGGCAGGTGAGCCAGGCGGCCCCCCGCCGCCTCCGCTTCCGGTTCCGGCACCCCCCCACCCCCACCGGGGAGCAGGGTGAGCCTCTGTGGACACCCCTGCTGGGGTCCTACCCATCGTGTGCAGCTGCAGGCCCTCCAGGCTTTCCAAGCCATTGCCCTGAACCTTCAGCTTGATGACGTCCGTGTGCACCAGGTCGCTCTGCAGCCACAGGGTGGGGGCGTGGGCGCAGGGTCAGGGGACAGGGCCGGGTACCCTTAGCCATTCGACACCCCACCCCCTCTCCCCGTCTGTGCCTCTCCGGGGACCAGGTACCTTCACAAGTGTCCAAGACACGATCCTGCCGTCAGAGGACACGGAGAAGAAGTTCAGGTTGTTGTCCATGTCGTCTTTCTGCCACTTGACCTAAATCACGAGGGACTGAGGACTCCGGGGGCCTGCCTGGGTGCCGACTGAGGGAGAGGAGCCAAGCGGGGCTGTCCCAAGAACCCCATCTGCAGTCCCAAAGTGAATCCTGGATAGCTCAGAGCATTGCCCCTTCCCTCCTGCCGGTCGGCTCTGAGTCTCCTTTTCCCCCTGACACTGGGGAGGGACATTAGGGGCAGCCAGCCAGGGGACCGCCCAGGGTGCCGGGCTCAGCAGCATTGGTGCCCACCACCTCCTGAGTTGGCCCTCGGGGTCTGGCCGAGGACTGAAGGCAGCCACGTGGGGCCTCCCTGTCTTCCACAGGTGCGTCCTAGAACGATGGGGCCTATCTACCCACCAGCTTCCTCGTGTCACGGAAACCCTCACAGCACGTGCTAGTCATAAGGAATAAAGGGGACAACGGATGCAAAGCCCTGAGCTCAGAACACACAGGCTCTGTTGAGTAAGAGCGAAGAATGTCCTTGACTCATGGTCATGGTCATTCTAGAAGCCAAGGCTCTGCCAGGGGGTACTACCCCCCTGACCCCCTGGCTCCTTTCAGCCTCCCTCTCGCGGCTTGGCCCTCCCGTCCTCAGCAGACTCTCCATGGTTCCCACCTTCACTTCACCACCAGCTCCGGCTCCTAGAACATTCCTGCCCAGCCTCTGCTCTGAGCAGCATTTCTCCAGCTGCAAATTGAGGTCAATAATGCTGCCCCATCCAAGCGTCTCACGGCTGGGAGCAAACATATGGGAAAGTGTTTTTTGGAGACTGAGCTGTTGCCTTATGAAGATGACACGCTTGAGGCTCAAGTTTCTGCTGCCAGATGTGCAGGCCTGGCCCAGCCATGTCCTAGCGAGCTGGGGCGGGGCTGGATGCCCAGAGCGTTCTGTCCTCTGGCTCCCTCCAGACCTCCCAGGCCGGGACCCCCAGCCCCCACTCCCCAGTGCCAAGCAGAGAGCCAGTGAACCCCAGTGCTGTGCCCAGAACCACAGTCGCCACCAGGACTTTGAAGGGATGAGGGTGGGGGGGGGGGAGGAGTGAGGAAGGGGGAGGAGTGGGGCGAAGAAGAGCTTGTTCCTCTCCCCCCCTTTCTCCCCCCCCCACCCCAGGCCTGGTGGATCCAGGAGGGGCCGCGGGGAGGCGGGCGGGAGGGCTGAGGCCTGCCTGGGCCTGTGTGGGCAGCCAGCCCTCTTGCACTTCTCCCAGGGTACGGCTCGAGCCCCATAGCGCCTGTGAGGCACAGCAGCGCTGGTGCTGGTCGAGCTCTGAGACCCCTTTCCTGCTGTGCGAAGGGAGTCCTTGTAAAGGGGGGAGGGGGGTGGAAGGGTGTCAAAGGCCTGGCTCTAAGAGGCGCGAGGGAGCTGCAAAGGGAAGTGTTTAATGAGCAGCTTATGGAAATTGTATTTCACACCCCACTTAGCAGCCTGATGCCCAATGGGGGGTGAAGTGTGTACTCAGGAGCGAGAGAGAGAGAGAGAGAGAGAGAGAGAGAGAGAGAGAGAGAGAGAGAGAGAGAGAGAGAGAGAGAGAGAGAGAGTGTGTGTGTGTGTGTGTGTGTGTGTGTACTCCTGGGTGGAGCAGGGATGGCAGGAGGGGAGAGCCTGGCAGGAGAATAGCCAGGAAGCAGGTGAGAAGAAGAGATGGAGCCGCTTCACTATCTCAATTTGTTGACCTTTGCTGATTAGGACAGATGGGCTTGACCCAGTCTCAGTAACCATATCCTTCCTGCTTCTGTTGTGTGTGTGTGTATGTTTGCACACATGCATTCGTACACCTCAACCAGCAAACACACACACACACACACACACACACACACACACACACACACCCCAGAGTGCTGCTGGCTGAGGCTGAGTGCTGGGCCACCCAGGTGGGGAAGTCGTCGGTGCCCTGGAAAGGAGACTAATGTCCTTTGAACAGCCGTTTCTCTCCCTGGCTCTTTCATGCTCCCCCAGTGCCAACAAAACAAAGTTCTTCTGCCACAGCCTGGGTCCCAAACTATCTCCCTGGGCTCCCCCGAGACTAAGGCTCTGTACAAAGGACCTGGTCACAGATGTGTGGGGCTCAGGGATGTCCCAGGCTCCTTGGTACAACTCCCTCTGGCTCCATCTCTGTTTACTTCCGGTAAAACCCGCTCCTCTCCTGCTGTCTGCCACTTCTGTGGGTACCCTGAGCCGGCAGTTGGGGCAGTGCCCCCATTCCTCCCTTTTTTTTTTTTTTTTTGCTTTTTGGGTCACACCTGGCAATGCCCAGGGGTTACTCCTGGCTTTCCACTCAGAAATCACTCCTGGCGGTGCTCGGGGGACCATATGGGATGCTGGGAATCGAACCTGGGTTGGCCGCGTGCAAGGCAAACGCCCTACCTGCTGTGCTATTGCTCCAGCCCCACATTCTTCCCTTTGTCCAGGTTTGCTCGTCCCCATCGCAGCTCTCTACCCTACCTAAGGTCTCGTTTCTGTCTCCACAGCCCCTGCCCTAGCTCAGGCTTCAGAGTTTCTCACACAGGGCCTGACAGTGCAGGACGCTCCCTGGGCACAAACAGAAGTGACCCCTGAGCACAGAGCCAGGGTGGTTCCCCAGTACCATGGGGTGTGGCTGCCTCGACAGATTTCTCACAGCGCAGCCAGAGGATAACTTATCTCCAATACACAAACAGGAACTTGTCACTTCTCTGCTTGAGGCATAGGGGTAGACAGTGAAACGACTTCAGGGGACAAGGGGCATGGCGGCAGGGGACCCTTTAGTACCCAGACCCTGATCCTGCCATAGCAACTGCTCTCATCCACAGTGGTGTGTGTGAAGAACGGTGCTGGGGTTCACACCTGGGGCTCCTGCAAACCACCCTTTGAACTACTTCCCTGATTTACTCTTGACTGTGTGTGTGTGTGTGTGTGTGTGTGTGTGTGTGTGTGTGTGGTGGTATGTGTGTGCATGTGGTGTGTGTGTGGTGGTTTGTGTGTAGTGGTATGTGTCTGTATGTGTGTGTGTGGTGTGTGTGGTGGTGGTGGTGTATATGTGTGGTGGTGGTGTGTGTGTGGTGTGTATTTGGTGGTGTGTGTGCGTGTGTGTGGTGTGTGGTTGTGGAAGTTGGGTGTGTGTGGTGTGTGTGTGGTGGTGGTGGTGGTGGTGTGTATGATGGTGTGTTTGGTGGTGGTGGTGTGTGTGTGTGGTGGTAGGGTGTGTGTGGTGTGTGGGTAATGGTGGTGTGTGTGTGGTGTGTGTGTGGTGTGTGTGATGTGTGGTGTGTGGGTGATGGTGGTGGTGGTGGTGTGTGTGTGGTGGTGTGTGTGGTGTGTTTGTGGTGTGTGTGTTGGTGGTGGTGGTGGTGTGTGTGTGGTAGTGGTGGTGGTGTGTGTGTAGTGGTGGTGTGTGTGGTGGTGTGTGTGTAGTGTGTGTGTGATGGTGGTGTGTGTGGTGGTGTGTGTGGTGTGTTTGTGGTGTGTGTGTGTGTGTGTGTGTGTGTTTGGTAGTGGTGGTGTGTTGGGTCACACCCGCAGTGCTCAGGAGCTAGTCCTGGCTCTGGGAACAGGGTGTGCTCTCAGCTTCACCTTTTATCCAGAACTGTGGTGTGGGGGACACCCGGCAGAGCGGGCAACTGAGTCCTGCGGGATGCCAGGCGAGCCCCTGCCCCAGTACGGCCCCTCTGGCCCACCTACCCTCTTGTGATCGACTGGGCTCCTGCACCTGCTCTTCCCTGGAAACCAGAGAGTAAGAAAGCCCAGCGCCCTTGCCGGGAAGCGTCCTCATCAGGAGGGTGGCTGCGCTTTTCCGGTGTCTGACCCCACTGCGCTCTCAGGCTGGGTGTGTCTGTGTCACTACACACAGGGCCCCCTTGTGTCCTCCACTGGCCTAAAACTTTTGTAGACTCACCCCCCACCTCCAGGAAGTCCCCCACCCCACCCCTGATCCTCCTATCCCAAGCAATCTGGGCCCCTCTCCTCGGTACCCTCCCTCACCCCACTCCACAGACCTCTTTAGCATTTTGCATCTGACTGTGGAGAGGGCTGGCCTTGGGCACTCACCTCCCATCCCCCACCACCTCGCCTGCCCCTGGCTCAAGTCCTGCTTGGCCCTGGCACCTCTGAGGGCCGGAGCAGCCCCGGGTGGACACAGCTCAGCCCTGGAGCTGACTCCGCGCTCCTCCTTGGGGGCAGGGTGCTCCCCTCTGGAGGTGATGAGCCTCGCCCAGGTCCTGCCTGGGAGCTGAGCAGAGGGAGTGAGCTGGGTGGTAGGGGTGCCCACGCCCCAGCTCTCCTGCACAGGGTGAGACTGAGAGGGCACCCAGTCCCCTAGCTGGGCTGGGTCTGAGGGAAGAGGAGGAGGAGGGTGTGGAGAGCGGAGCCAGCTGGAGGCAGAAACTCAGCTCAGGAGGGGCCAGGAAACAGTGAGCACAACTGGGGGATTCCTGGGCCGAGGTGCCTTCTGAGGAGAGACTATGGGGTCCACGCCCAGGGTGAAAGGTGGGAGATACTGAGTTGGGGTGTGTAACTTGCCCCCGACGCCCAGCAAAAAATCTGTTCCATGCCTCTCTGGGGAAGAGAGGTGCTTCCTGAGAAGGCTCGCAGACTTGGGCTGCTGGCCCTCGGGAGCTCCCTTCACCCGGGAAAGTCCAGTGGGCTTCCTGAGCTCTGGGCGTGGATCCCCACACTTACAAGATCCCAAGATGGGGACCCCATCCATGCTGGGAGCTTCAGATATCAGCCCCTCCTCTTTTTTTTCTTTTTGGATCACACCCAGCGATGCACAGGGGTCACTCCTGGCTCTGCACTCAAGAATTATTCCTGGCGGTGCTCAGGGGACCATACGGGATGCTGGGAATCGAACCTGGGTCGGCCGCGTGCAAGGCAAACGCCCTACCCGCTGTGCTATTGCACCAGTATCAGCCCCTCTTACCTGCAGACCCTCACCCAGTCTCCTAGCCCACCCCAGCCCTCCCTCCTGGCCACTGACCTGCCACACAGGGTCCGTGTGTTTGCCCGATTTGGCCGAACTGCGGAATGAGGGCTGGGACTGGGGCTTCTTGAGGTTGTAGACGGCCACGTTGCCGTCGTAGTGGCCCACGACCACCAGGTACGGGTGGTCCTTGTGCATGTCCAGACACATGATGCCGCTCTCGCTGCTGAAGGAGAACTCAGGGAAGCTGGGGTTCTTCATGCTGTAAAGCAGCAGCATGCCCCGGCTCTGCTTCATGAAGTCATCTGCCCGGGAGAGAGCGGGCGGGCCGCTCAGTGGGGCCAGGGCCGGCTGTGGTACAACCAGCCAACCCGGGTTACATCCCCGGCATCCCGTACACCGGCACCCCGAGCACCGTGAGGAGTGATTCCTGAGTGCAGAGCCATGAGGAAGCCCTAAGCATCACTGGGTGTGCCCCCCCAGAGAGAAAGTGGGCACTCAGGGCGGATACTCCAGCTTGCTTGCTCTACAGCCGCCCCCCAGCTTCTGACTGGCTCAGGAAGACCCAGCCTTGCGGGGTACGGCTACAGTCTGCGATCCTGGGGCTGAACCCTGCCAGGAGTGATCCCTGAGCATAGAGCCAAGGAGGAACACTGAGCACTGCTGGGTGTGGGTCCCCCACCCTCTACACACACACACACACGCACAAAAGTTCCTGGGTGGGGGTGGGGTGGGGGTATGGTTCAGTGGTTAGAGCCCATGGTTTGCATGTTTTTTTTTTTTTTTTTGGCTTTTTGGGTCACACCCAGCCGATGCTCAGGGATTACTTCTGGCTCTGCACTAGGAATCACTCCTGGCGGTGCTTGGGGGACCATAAGGTTTGCATGTTTGAGGAGTTCCATGGGTTCTATGCACCCGCATGCACGCACACACACACACACACACACACACAAATCACACATGCAAACATATACGTGTATACACGTGCACACGCAAATCACATATGCACATGTATACACATGGAAAAGGAAGGTGTGTGGGCTTGGGGAGGGGCAGTTTTCCTGGTGGACAGGGCTCAATGCCCAGCTCAGAGGCAGGCTGCTGACTGCAGAGGTCTTAGGAATGTCCCCGCACCCCTCACTGCCCAGCCAAGAACAGGGCGTTAGGGTGGGCTAGCTTGGAACTGCCCACACGCCTCCCTACCTTTCTCCCTGACCTCTGCACCCCTGGAGCCCGGTCCCGGAAGCTTGCACTCCCGCTCTGCCCCACTCCCAGAATCAAGAAGCTCTGGGCCCAATCAGGAAAGATGGCTCTGAGGGCTGGAACTCAGGCTTTGCACGTGGGCACCCTGGGTTCAGACCCTGGCACTTCTGGGGGGTGGTGGCCACCAAGCACCAAGCCAGGAGCAGCCCCCAGCATGGGAGGGGGTGTGACCCCCCCCTCCCTGACTCCCCCCAACCATCTCTCCCCAGGGTCATCCCCCAGGCCTAGCCTTTGGGGTGCTCAGCAGAAGTGGGGGTGAGGGGGGTGAGTGTCTCCCAGCTCATTCTTACTCTCATTCTGCACTCCTGGCACCCAGCCTGGAAGCGCTTGTTACTGTCTGATCCCTGCCACAAGCCCAGAGTCAGGGAGGTGGAAGTGAAGGCAAGGCGTCTTGTGGAGGCCCTTCCGCTAAGACTGGGGTCACTGCCCCGTGCATCTCCTCCCCCCCCGCAGGGCTTCTGGCCCTGCTCCTGGCCACAGCTGGCCTGCGGGCCGCCCCCCCCCCCCCAGTCCCTGTCTGGAGGAGGGCTCCCAGCTGGGCTGGCTCTGCTGGCTGCAGAGGAAGGGACGGGGCTGGCTCAGGGTGGATCTAGGCGCTGACCGCAGAGGTCTCCGCCCCACCCCTGCACCCCGCAGCTGGTGCCTCCTAGGGGCCAGGACTCAGGAGCCAGCCAGGAGCGGGCTGGCCGGAGGTGGGTCAGTTCGAGGCTGAGGCCAGCTGGCCGGCTCCCAGGGCGGAGGCCCCTTTCCTTGCCAACCCGTCCCTGGCCAATCTGGGACTCCTGGTCACCTTCGAGAAGGGTCTGCCCTGGGATGCAGGGCCCACACCTGGGAAAGGGCACACAGAGTTCTCAGGAGTGCGTCTCGGGAAGATGCCTCAGCTCCGGTGATGGCTGCAGCTGTGTAAAGCAGGAGCTGGGTGACTTCCAGACGCAACTCCCCCCACCTTGACCCCCGCAAACACCCTCCTGAGTGCTCCAGACCAGGGAACACTGGGCTGGGGGCGGGGGAGCGGCTGTCCCTCTGCCGCCTCCAGCCTGGCTTCTGAGGCTGACTGCGGGCAGGGTGTCACCTTTCCTGCTATTTCACCCGGGGCTCGGCCTGGGCTGAGTGGCAGGGAGGTGGGAGGGCCCCATGCAGCTCCCAGGACCCTGATCTGGGCCTCCCCTGGGTTGTCCTGAGTTTGCCTTCGTTCTGGGTCATATCCCCTGATAAGAACCCTACCACCACCACCACCACCACCACCACCATACACACACATCCCAGAGGGTGTGTTAGGGCCACACCCGACGGTGCTTAGGGCTGCTGCTGGCTCTGCAGTCGGGACTCACTCCTGGCGATGCTCAGGGGATCAGATTGGAGCAAAGTGGGGTCAGTTGTGTGCAAGGCATGGCAAATCTTGCCTTTGTGCCATCTCTGATCAAGAGGCCTCCTACCATCTTTTTTTTTTTTTTTTTTTTTTTGCTTTCTGGGTCACACCCAGCGATGCACAGGGGTTACTCCTGGCTCATGCACTCAGGAATTACTCCTGGCGGTGCTCAGAGGACCATATGGGATGCTGGGAATTGAACCCGGGTCGGCCGCGTGCAAGGCAAATGCCCTACCCTCTGTGCTATTGCTCCAGCCCCCACCTCCTACCTCCTTATATTTATTTTGGTTTGGGGCCACACCCAGTGGTGCTCAGGGCTGACTTGCGTGTCCCTCATTACTTCTTACCCTTCACCTAAAGGTGCCCACTTCTCACTGCGGTTGTTTCCTGCCTTCGGGCCTGTCAGCCCCCCAGGAAAGCAGAAAAGCTCACTGCCCGCAGCCCGCAGCCCCCCCTCCCCTCCTTCTAATCTGTGTCCTGCTCATCCCCGAGTAAACACACTGTGTCCTTCTCCTCCCGATCATGACACATGGTGGGCCGCGCCTCCATCTCCGCTTCTGAGCATCCTAAACTGGCGCCCTCCTGATGACCACCACCACCCTGTGGTCCCCCTGGGGTTCCCGGGCTCAGGCTGCCCGTGGCGGCCCTCAGATATCCCTGGCATGGTGCCACCAGGTGGCAAACCACAGTTCCCCCATGCTAGTCCTGGCATCTGGGTCACCTTAGGGTCTCGGTTCCCAGTGAGCCTGGGACCTTGGATCCCGAGGTACTTTGTCCCAAACTCTACAGACCTCTCGGCAACTCAGGCATGGATAGAGTTTTCCACTCTCCTGTGGGCCGTGTTAAAAGCTAGAGATGTTGATGGTGGGGTGAGGCATCGATGAAGGGGTGTCTGTGAGTATTTAAGGCTGGGGAGAAGGAAAGGAGGCAGGGAGGAGGGCAAGAGGGGAGGCCTGGAGGGGGAGTGATCCTGGGAGGAGCCTTAGCTGGCCTCCACTCGATCCCTCTGCCCGTCTCCAGTCTCCAGGAAGCTTTCCTTCTCCGGGAGTGGCTGCCTGGAGGCGCCCCTCTGTCCTTGTCTCAGGAATATCATCAATTTTTTTTTCTTTTTTTGGGTCGCACCCCGTGATGCACTGGTGTTCCTCCTGGTTCATGCACTCAGGAATTACTCCTGGCCGTGCTCAGGGGACCATATGGGATGCTGGGAATTGAACCCGGGTCAGGCAGCATGCAAGGCAAATGCCCTACCCACTGTGCTATCACTCCAGCCCCTCATCATTGTCATTGTTATTGCTTGTGGGGGTGCTCAGGGGTTACTCCCCCTCTGTGCTAGGAAACATGCAGCACCAGGGATGGAACTGGGTGTCCTGCACGCTGAGCCCGGGCTGTGCCTGCCGCATTCTCTCTGGCCCCTCACGCCTCGTTTATTTACCAGGGATATTCGCCTGCTGCTGAGACACGAGACACAAAGCCACAAAGCCAAGGGTGCGAGCCTGGCCTGGGGGACCCAGAGGCCTGCTCTCTCCCGCGGGCAGGGAGGGTTTCCTACAAGCCTTGCAGCACTGGATAATCCCAAAGATCTCTCTCCCTCTGCCGGCCTCTTGCAATGGTTTGCAAGATGCAGGGACAAAAAGCGAACACACTACTCCTCTGCTGGGAAGGTGGGATGTCGTCAAACTGGTAAGGACCAGTGGGGGCTTCAGTCCCAGGGCTGCATCCTGACCTGCAAAGTAGCAGGTGGCGATGGTGGAGGCAGGGCATGCTACTCCGGAGCTTTCTGGCTGTCAGGAGGAGCCTGGCCCCTGCCCAGGATTCAAGGAGGGTGAGGACCCAAGCGACGGGACAGTGGGGAAGGTACCTGCCTGCCCAGGTCCCATCCCTGGCACCACATATTGTCCCCTGAGCCCCGCCAGCTGGGATCCCTGCCTGGAGAGGCAGGAACAAGCCTTGACCACGGAGGCCCTCCCCCCCCCCCAAAAAAAAGACAAATAGCAAGCAAATCAAGGAAGGCGAGGCAGGTGGAGGGCTCCTGGAGCTCAGGCTGAAGCCAGGTCAGCGGCCACCAGCAAAGCTGCAGCGACAGGGGCCGGAGCAGCCAGGCGGCAGTTGCCAAGGCGGCCGCCTTGGCGTCTGCTTGCTTCTTTCTTGCTTTTTAATAAGCCCCTAACTGAGTTACACAAGAGCCCCTGGGGGATGGAGTATGGTGGGCAGAATAGTGTCCCCCCACCCCGTCCCATCCCTGGGAACACCAGTGTCCTAATCCCCAGAACCCACAAATCTGTACTCTGCACAGCAAGAGAAGTTTTACAGATGGGACTGAGTTAAGAAGGGCGAGGAGACAAGACCTGGGGAGGAGAGGGCGGGCAGGAGCGGCAGGAGGGAGGTGAACACCACTGGGCAGGGGCGGGGCGGGGGCAGTCGCTCTCTGGAAAGGGGACCCATGGCTTGTGGCAGTGGCTAGAACTGGGGGAAAAAAGTGAGGTGACAAAGTCCCCCCTGCAGAGCCACCAGAGGGTGTGTCCACATGGCTCTGTGTCATCGAGGGTGTGGCCGAGTGTCATGCACCAGGCCGGCTTTCTGACCTGTGTCTCAGGAGGTGGTGGTGGTGGTGGTGGTGGTGGTAGTGGGGAGCAGGGACCCCCCTCCCCCTCCCCCTCCCCAGCTTATCTTTTCTTTTTGCTTTGGGGCCACATCCCACATTGCTCAGGGGCTTGGAAGAGGGTGAGAGTGGAGTAGTTTGCTCCTGGGGGTGCTTGGAGGAATCACATGTTTTTTTTTGGGGGTTTTATTATTTTTTTTGGACGGGGGGGGGCACACCCACCATTGCTCAGGGGTTACTCCCTAGCTCTGCACTTAGGAATCACTCTAGGTAGGGCTCGAAGAACCTTACGGGGTGTTGGGGAGCTTACCTGGGTCTGCCGCGTGCAAGGCAAACGTGCTACCTGCTGTGTTGTCGCTCTGCTAAGCCTCCATCACCTCCCCACAGCCTGGTCCCCTCAGCCTCAGACTCCAGGAACTGAGAAGTGTTCCCTTGGGGCCGGAGCGACAGTACAGCGGGTAGGGTGTTTGCCTTGCACATGACCCACCTAGGTTCAATCCCCGGCATCCCATAAGGTCCCCCAAGCACCGCCAGGAGTGATTCCTGAGTCCAGAACCAGGAGTAACCCCTGAGCATCGCCGGGTGTAACCTAAAAGAGCAAAAAAAAAGAAAAAAAAAGTCTTTTGGTTAGGACTGCCTCTGTCTCCAAAGGCAGAGGACTCAGGCAAGGCTCCCCGACTCTGACCTCCCCCAGAAACGGCTAAAGTGGACCCCAGGCCTCCAGTGTGGCCCCAGGCGGTGCAGGGCCCAGCTTGGCTTCCAGGCCGTGAGTGGCCTCCGTTTCCAAGCACGCCCAATTCATTAGGACTCATATTTAAACAGTGTGGGAACCCGGAGCAAGGCCTCGGAGACAGAATACATCAAGCGGGACATTTAATTTGATTTAGGGAAAATGAGGCAAACATTTGAGAACCTAAATAACTAGGCAGTAATTAAGCTCACAACGAGAATGCCCTTCCACTCCAGCCCGGAGAAGCTCGGTGGCCTTTATAGACTCTATTTACAGAGAGACCTGACAACATAATTAGTCCTGTAAATTTTATGCAGCCAGCAGCTGAGGAGTGATGGATTCTGTGTGTGGAGGATGAACAGGGAGAAATGAGGTGGATGAATTTCCATTTTCAGTAAATGAAATTAACACTGCTTAATTAGTGAGGCTGACAAATGATGGGGCAAGATTGAATTCCCGACAAGGGGCTCTTGGGGGGGGGGGGAGGTTGGACAGGCCGGGCCCCATCACTGGGAATAGGTCTGGTGCTGGGACTCTGCCCCCCTTCTGAGTTGCCGCCCACGGGACACTGGGCCGAGGGACAGCTGGACCCTCTGTCCTTCCAAGCTGTGGCCACTGGGACTCTTCCTTCCCTTGCCCGCGGGCTAGCCTGTCCGTCAGGACCAGATAGGATGCCCAGGATCGGTTCCGCTACACCCGCCTGGTAAACCATGAGGAGTCTCATTCCCCTGTCGCAGATCGGCTAAGGGGCTGGAAGGAATCCCTTCAGCTCAGAGGAATCCCCAGCTAGGGGGAGGCCTCACCCAACAGCGATCCCCAGTTCTCTGGTCAGTCTGTCTGGGTGAGGCCGAGTGGGATGGGCAGGGGAGTCTGGGGAGCTTCTGAGGACTGTGTGGGGGCGGGGAGGGTTGCAGGGGAGCCAACACCACCTGCCCCTGCAGGACTGTTGGCCTCTGTCTTTGCAGCTTGCAGGGAAGCTCCTGGGCACTGGGGAATGTGGGACTCCCGGGTGACCTCAGGAAGGAATTCTGGGACTCCCTGGTAACCCCAGGAGGGAATTCCAGGTGCTGTGGGTCCCTTCTCAGCCCTTCGTGGAAGAGGAATAAAGGAAGTTTTGAGGGTCTCTGGAGGAGAGATGAACTTCTGAGTTTTCAGGCCCTGCCGTGGGGGTGCCTCTGACCCGTTCCAACCCCCCTGATCCCTTCTCGCACTCCCCCAGGGACCTTCAGGGAAGCTGGGGGCTCGGTGGCGAGGAGAGACTCAGCACAGCACCGACTGCTCTCTCTGTGTGGGTGAGGCCTAGAGCTCACAGGTCATCTTTGCTCTTTTTTGGAGGGGTGGGGTGGGGGATGCTAAAGGGGGCCCAGGCAGTGCTCAGGGAGCACTGGGGGACTACTCCCGGCGATACTCAGCTGGCCTGAGCAGGTGGGCAGTTCAGTTCTGTGCTCGGGGCTGGTCACGTGGTACAGCTCACTGTGCTACTGGGCACCTCCTGCTCCAGTCCAGGAAGAGGCTGCCCCCTCCCCGCTGTAGCTTGAGCTGCTGCACGACCCCTGTGAGGAGCCCTGTGGGCACAGTGCATCTGGGGCTTGGAGCAGTGGTGCTGGGGGGCCACTAGCAGAGATGCTGGGGGGACCAGGCAGAGTCAGGGCTCAAACTCAGCACCTAGAACATCAAGGCCTGCTTCAAGCCCCAGATGCGCTGTGCCCGTGGGGGTGCTCACGGGGGTCGCACAGCAGCTCAAGCTACAGCGGGGAGGGGGGCCTCTTCCTGGACTGGAGCAGGAGGTGCCCAGTGGCACAGGGATGCTTGAAAGGACCCACAAAGGACAGGGAGGCCCCCGGGGCAGGTCCCTGCCTGCAAAAGACTGTGGGAGCTCCACTGAGAACAGTGGCTCGGGGAGGGGTCTTACCCTTCCTGGGAAGGCCTGTTGGGGGTCAGTTGGGTTCCAGGCCCTGTAGCTGTGGTGGAGGGGAGGAATGTGTGAGTTCGGCTGCCGGAGAGGGAGGGAGCGCCCTGCTGGGCAGCGGCCCTCATGAGTGGACACACAAAGCGCCCATTGAGGGCACCCTCCAAGGCGCCCAGACCACGAGACCGGGCGCAGCTCCAAGGTCCCCTCCCTGAGAGGAATAACAAGCACCCCCCTGCCCCCGGGGAGAGGGGGTAGACCTGTCCGAGGGGAGAGGCATGAGAGCGGGTGTCACCCTGGAAGCAGCGGCTCCTGTGAATCGGGGGGCCCTCTCCCGTCAGGAAGGGGCAGTGTCTGGGCCAGCCTGGAGGTAGGGCTGTCTCCCGGGGGCCCGAATCTAAGACCAGGGTGGTCCATGACCACAGTGCCAGGAGCCGTGGGGGCGGGGATTGACAAGCAAGAGTCAGAGTGTCAGAGTCCTATGGACAATGGGCGTCTCCCAGGGCTCAGGGGCCAAGTGACGAATGTCAAGTACATGCCCTCCCCCCCCCCCCGCTCTGCTTGCCCCCTGACCCCGTAAGGTCCCTCTAACATGTCACCCAATTCTTTGGGTCTCCCCCACCCCACTCCTCCACTCTGGCCAGCAGGTCACCGCCCCCTCCGTGCTGGAACGCTGCCCGCTGCCCACTGGCTGTGCCCATCCCTGTGCAGCTCAGTTCCCAGCACCCTGGGCTCTCCTGCCCACAGCCAGGAGTCAGAAACGGTCTTAAACTGGGGGCAATTCCCACCTGAGCATTGCTGGATGTGCCCCCTGCTCAAAAACAAACAAGCTCCTTCAAAGCCTTCCCCAAAGAGGTCACTATCCTTGGTGAAGGTTCTTGGAACAGCCCACGGGGTCCTTGGGGGCCTGAGCCAGAACCCCTCGAAGGCTCCCTCCCTGCTCCGGGGCTTGAGTCCCCAGACCTGGCCCCCCAGGGGTCCCCTTCTCTCCACCACTCCACCACAAAGGCTCCTTGGGGCTCATTTTGCCCGGTTCCTTCACACAGCGTTAAGTGCTGGTGTGCTGGTCATCCCCTGCCCTGCCCCGGTGAGCCTCCTGAGGGCAGCGACCACCTTGGTCACTGCCTCCTCCACTCCAGCCGACAGTCCTGCAGGCACGCAGCGCTGCGTGGAGCAAGTGGGTACTTAGCCTCGGTACTTACAGGAGCCGTGCCCCACTGCAAAGAGATCCTTGTACTTGGGATTCCTGCCAGAGAAACACAAACCCGTTGGCCCAGGAAAACCTTTGGAGGGGGCTCTTCCGAGGACACTGCACCGCAGACGTCCACGGTCCCGCTAGGAGATCTGGGAAGACGCCCCAGTTTCCTAAGAATCCCAGCCACCTTTTATCCCTCCCCCACCCAGCGCCTACAGGTGAGTAAGGGTAGTTAAAGCGCCCGGCGGGGCTCGGCACCCCTCGGGCTTGCTGCAATGTCTGCGCTCACCAGCAGAGGGCGGTGACGGCCAGGCGCTTGGCTTTGTCGTTTTGGAACTTCCAGAGTGGCAGCAGGGTCCCCTCCTGGTCCCGGTACTCGTCCGCAGCATCCTCGTAATATTTAAAATCTTAAACACGCAAAGGCGAAAGTCGGTCCTGGGGGCTGCCCCACTGCGTCGCCAGCCCACCCCTCACTGGTGTGCCTTTCCGTGGCTTCCCAGTAGGAGTGGGAAACGTTACAACCCGCCAAGGGCTGTGGTGAGGAGGACGTGAGTGAGACACACGGGAGGTGCTGGGGGGAGAGAAAACCAGACCCCGACCCCCACCTGACACGCAGCCAGCTCTCTGAATGAGTCCCTGTACAGTCCTAGGGGCTGAGGTAAATGACACCAAAGTGGCCGCCCTGCAGGGACAAAGGCCCAGTTGCGACCCCCTCCCCGCCCACTGCCTGAACTCAAATTGATCTCTTTCCTGACATGCTTTGCCTCTCCTTCCCCCTAACTTGGGTAGAGGCTCCCTTCCTTCCTCTGGCCTCCACTGGAAGAACGCCTCCTCCTTGAGATTTCTTCCTACTATCTCTCAGAGTTTCCTCCAGTGAACTCCTTCCCATAAATGTGTTTGGTTTTGGGGGAGCACAGGGGTTACTCCCAGCTCTGTGCTTGGGGGTTGCTCCTGGTGGTGCTTGGGGGAACCGTGTGGCACTGGGAGATGGAGCCTGGGCCTCCTGCATGCAAAGCCTGCCTCAGCTCACTGAGCGTTCTGGTTACCTTTAGCTGATCCCTGGTTACCTTTATTTATTCAGTTTTTTTTTAATACATTCACAGCTCTCCAAATTCAGCCACTGTCCAGGTTCAGGCCCCAGTAGCCGTTACCTGGCTTATAACATCCTCCTAATTGCTCTTCCTACTCAAACAAGTCCTTTTCCAGTTCATTGCCCCACAGAGCTGCAACTGTAGAGCAGAGAGGCCACTTTCTCAGCCCGCCTCATCACCCCGTGCAAGCCTTCAACAGCACCTCCGCACAGAGGCTCCTTGCCCACAGCAGTGCCCTGGTCACTGCTTCGAAGCCATTTCCAGCCAACTGTCGGCATCCTCTGGGCTAGTGTCAAAGAATAGAGTGGCCGCACGTTTCTGTGGGGTTCTATGTACGGTTCCATGTCTGAAACACCCTGCCCCTGCATCTACTCCATATCAGATCCTCCTTCTCCTCCCCCTTCCCCTCCTCCCCCTCCTGCTCTTTGTGAGAACTTCAATTTCTGGTTGAGCGGATTCTTTCTTCCTCCATTCCAGACTTCCAGCTCCACCTCTCTTCTATTGAAAATCTCTCCCTGGGGGAAGGTGGGTAGGGGAGCCAGAGAGGGGGGGGAGAGAGAGGGAGGGAGGGGGAGAAAGGGGGGGGAGAGAGAGGGAGAGAGGAGAGGAGAGAAGAGGAGGAGAGGAGAGGAGAGGAGAGGAGAGGAGAGGAGTATCTGCTATAGAGGCAGTCTGCGGTGGGAGAGTTGTGGGGGGGAGGGAACCTGGGGACACTGGTGCTGGGAAATGTGCACTGGTGGAGGGATGGGTATTGGAACACTGTATGACTAAAACCCAATCATGAACAATTTTGTAATGGTCTATCTCACAGTGATTCAATAAAAAATTTAAAAGAATTAAAAAAATCTTCCTCTGGGCCAGAGAAATAGGATAAGATAGAAATAGGATACAGAAGATAGGGCATTTGCCTTGCATGCGGCTGATACAGTTCGATACCGCATCCCATGTGGTCTCTGAGCATCACCAAGTGCGATCCCTGAACACAGAGCCGGGAATAACGCCTGAGCATTGCCGAGTGTGGTCCCAAAACCAACCTCCCCACCCCCCCAAAAAGAAAAAAACCCCAAAACAACAGCAACAGCAAAGAAAAAAAAACCCTCTGGGTTGCATCTATTTATCCTTTCACCTGGTTTCCCTCAAGATTGCTTCTGGAGAACAGGACACCTGTTCAAATCATGTCCACCCTCGCATAGGGGTGGGCCACAGAGCAGACTCCCACTGCTTGCCCCAAGAATGCAGTGAAACAAACCAACAGCAGTGAAATGTTCCTGTGCCTTCTTTCCACCCGAGGGTGACTAATTAGAAATGAAATCCTCCGCTCCAGCCCGGTTAAGGGCATCCGTGCCCAAGCACAGCTCCAGGCTTGTACAAAGCTCCATACCTAGAGGTCGTGGGATCACAGGCAAACCTCAGAAATATCTGAGACCAAAAGAAAAAAAAAAGACCTCAGTGGCCAGCGAGAGGAGAGCCTTGATCCCACGAGCCATCCCTGGGCTCTGACTGTCTTTGAAAACGTTTAGTTTCAGAGAGATTAATTGGCAAACGCGTCTCTATTTTCCCTTCGCCCTCATGATTGCGCTTTCCCAAAGGGAAAAGGAGTAGGCAATTAAAGGAAATCAAAGTTCAATGCATTCTTATGTGACTGTGTTCTTATAAATGAAAAAAGGTTCGCCCCGGCCAGTTTCTCCATGGTTATTAATCATGCTTGCGGCCCTTTTGTGGGCTGGTTGCAGAGGCCGGGTTTCAGGAAGCCAAGCTGTGTGAGTGACAAATTCATTCATGGCTGCTGTGTACTTTGACAGCTTTGAAAAGCACTCAAGGCCGTTTTCCAGCCGGAATGATAACAAGGGGGCTTGTTTTAGTTTCTGCTCTTGGCAGTGCCGGTTTCTCTGTCCCTGGGGTGAGAGGCAAGTAGCAAGTCACCAAGAAGAGCCCCTAGGCTGTCAGAGACAGAGACCTGCCAGGAGCCAGGAGTTGCCAGCCTTGGGGACCGAATGAAAACAACACTTCCCGGGGGAACCCAAGTCACTGGGGGAATGTGCGAGTCCTGCCATGGGAAGTATCCCGTCGCCCCAGACCTGTCAAGGCGTCAGGATTTCCCAGGCCCCTGGCATTTAAGAGGTTCTGAATCAATCTCTCTTCATTTCATCGCTAATTAATCACCAGTGCAGACCTATTGAATGTGTATTTGAAATGTCTCTTCCGGTTCAGTGACCCTGCAGCGAGCACCCAAGGGCAGCAGCCGTGGAGGAGTCTCAGGGGGCTCTCGTTCCAGTCCCCAGGGCCCCCACTCAGGTCTCTTACCAGCTGGGGTTTTCGCAGACTGCTGAGTCTAGCCTGAATCCCTCCTCTACAGAAGGGAGATGATAGCAGTGTTCATCTGACAGTCAGCTGTCAGAAGGAAATAAAATCATCCGTGTCGATGGCATGCACCATGCCGGGTACCTTGGCCATTCCCAGGTGCTTGCCCACCACTGTGACGGACAGTTTCTTCTATCACGGGGTCTGGGTAAAGTGTGTCAAGGCCCCCCCTCCAGTCCATGCCGAGCCACCTCTCTCTCTCTGCGTTCCTCCCAGCCCCATCCTCTCTCGCCCTGCTCTCGGGGCTGTGCCCTGCCAGGTCCTTTCCTTTGAACTCTCTGTAAAGAAAGGTCAGATTCTCCACAGGATATTTGTTACGTTCATCTCAAGCCCCCCAGCGCCTGGCTGGCTCCAACCCATGCCTCCTGCCTGAACCCTGGCCCCAGTCCAACAAAGCCCAGTTCCGGGTCACTGAGACTGCTGCCTCAGGTCGGACCCCATTCCAGTCTGTTTCCCCTGCCCAGAACATTCCCCTTCTGCTGATGTCCCTCTCACACCTGCCTGTCCCTGGCCTCTGACTCAGCCTCCCTTGAGTCTTCCTTGATGGCTGCCATCAGCCCTCATTTCCTTTCTTCCATTCTTGAGGTCCTTCCCGCCCCCCGAATACTTCTCTCTGTCTACTACATTCTAGGGTCTGTGTGTTCTCCACCCCCACCCCCACCCTGCCCTGCCATCCCAACCTGGACTGACTGGGAAACTCAAGACCTTGCTCTGGTCCCTCTGCATTTGCCAACTAACTGACCTTCGTTTCCTCCTCTGCAAAGTAGGGGTGATGGTTTTGGTTGGTTTGGTTTGCAGCCCTCTCTAGCTTCTCAGGACTTACTCCTGGCCCTGCGCTCAGGGATCACCCCTGGCAGGGCTCAGGGGAACATATGGGTGTACCGGGGATCGAACCTGACTTGGCTTCGTGCAAGGCAAGCGCCCTCCCTGCTGTCTTAACTCTCTGTCCCAGGGGTGACAGTCTTGCTCTGCTGCCTTTGGGGCTGTGGGAAAAGGACCCCAGACTCCTAAATATGCTGGTGACTTTATGGTTCCATCAATGACAATTGCATAAGTCCCATCTCCCTACAGATGCCCCGAAGAAGAAGGGGTGCTTTCTTTTCTTTTTGCGTCATACCTGGCAAAGCTCAGGGGTTACTCCTAGCTTTGAACTCAAGAATCTCTCCTGGTGGTGCTCGGGGAACCATATGGAATGCTGAGAATTGAACCTGGGTCGGCCATGTGCAAGGCAAAAACCCTACCTGCTGTGCTATCGCTCCAACCCCAAGAAGGGGTGCTTTTATGGTTGTTTTTGTTTGGGGGACCTCAATGGACAGTGCTCTGGGTACCATGCAGTGCTGAGGATCCGACCTGAGCCTCCAGTATGCAAAGCCTGCATACCAGCCCTTTGAGATCTCCGCGCCCTCCAGTCTCAGGAAGGGACGGCTTCTTTTCCCCCTGTATCTGTAGGATGGAGCAGGGTTGCACAAAAACATACCTACATCATGGTTACTGGCCGCATTTCCCCACTTAATAATAAACTATTATTATAATTATAACTATTATTATTTGGTTTTGGGCTGGAGTGATAGCACAGCGGTAGGGCATTGGCCTTGCGCGCAGCTGGCCCGGCCGAGCCGTGTTCGATTCCTCTGCCCCTCTCGGAGAGCCCGGCAAGCTACTGAGTGTATACTGCCCGCATGACAAAACCTGGCAAGGGTCAAGGGTCAAGCTACCCGTGACGTATTCAATATGCTAAACACAGTAACAACAAGTCTCATGATGGAGACGTTACTGGGCCCGCTTGAGCAAGTTGATGAACAATGGGAGGACAGTGACAGTGATTATTTGGTTTGGGGCCACACTGAGTGATGCTCAGAGGTTACTCCTGGCTCTGCGCTCAGGAATCATTCCTGGTGGGCTTGGGGAACCATATGGGATGCCAGGGATTGAACCCAGGTTGGCCGTGTGCAAGGTAAGCACCCTTCCCGCTGTACTATCATTCTGGCCTCCCCCTCTTACCTTGAGCAACGTCATCATACGTGTTCTGGTTGACCATCCGCTCCACAATTTTTGCGGCTTGTGCCACTTTGGTGATGTCATCGCTCTGTGGGGACATGGGGGTGGGGCACAGGGAAAGTGGGGTCTGGAGCCCCAGCCAGGCCTGCCGTTGGCTCAGCAATGCCTTTCCATGCCCCACACCACACGCTGCCCGCTCAGTCACTGTGTCTCACCCTGTCACCTCCTGCTGGGATCCCCCAGCTCACAAGCGTCATGGGACTCTGTGCTAACAAGTGTGGCATCCGTCTGAAGGCACTTCACACACTTCCCTCTGCAGATGGTGTCTCTCTCAGCACATGTGCAGGGCACCTCAGGGAGCCCAGACGGGTCATGGAGAGGAGAGCAGACAAGGGAGGCTAGGCAGCTCCGCTGAAGGGGTCACAAAAGTCCCCCCAGCTGTGGCACTAACAACGACTCCCACAAAAGCCGCTCTCAGAGGTTTCTGAGATGTCTGAAGGGGCTGGAGCTCCATCCCCAGCACCCTAGGGTCCCCCTGAGCACCTCCAGGAGTGTCTTACAGAGCAATGAGCTGAGAGTAACCCCTAAGCACCATCATGTGTGGTCCAAAGATGAAAACAAACACTTGAGGGACAAGAGCAATAGTACAGCCAGTAAGGTGCGGCCCTTGCAGGCAGTGAATCTAGGTTCAATCCCCTGCACCCCAGCCCTGCCACATGCTCCTCTGATTCCCACCAGGGATGACTACCAAGCACAGAACCAGGAATAAGCCCTGAGCACCAGCTATAAACCAGGAATAAGCCCCGAGCATCACCAGGTAAGGCCTATCCCCCAAAAAACTGAAAAATACTAGAGAGTTAAGGAAGACACAGAGATGCTGAAAGCAAGGGAGAGATGGGCTTGCACACAGAGTGCTCAAGGCAGAGCTGAGTCCTGATCCAGGGGGCTATTCACTGTGTAGATGTGAAAACAGGCCACTCCAAGTCAGGGAGATAACTCACCTGAACCAGGAACCAGTGCTTAGTATGTGCAATCCCCCAAACTCACTCAAGTGAATCATAAACTAGGCTCAGAAAGGAGCAAGGAGGGGCCAGAGGGAGAATAAAACAGGTAGAGCTCTTGCCTTGCATGTGGCCAACCCAGGTTTGAGCCCCGGCATCCCACATGGTTCCCAGAGGCCACCAGGAGTGATTCTCTGAGCAATGCTGGATGTGGCCCAAAAACCGTAAGAAGAGAAAAAAAGGAGGAAAGAGTTTGTGGCAGGTGGCAGGTGGGACAATCAGAGCCCAAGGCCCTCCAGAAGAACTCAGGGGGAGACTTTCCTAAGGGAAGGTATCAGGCATTGCTGAGGAGGGGTTCTGGGGCCCACACCTGCATGCCCAAGACACCACACAGAGTAGCCACGACCACTTTGGTCGGTTATCTAAGCTCTAAGTCTCATCTCAGAGTAGGAAAGAGGGACTGAGTTAGGCACCTGCGTCCTTGGGTCATCTTAAGGATCAGCTGTAATGTGCATTTGATGGTGGTGAAGTCCCAGCTGGGCACCTGTCTTCTACCTTCCATTTCCTACCCTACCAACTCCAAGTTTATCTCAGGAAAGTCACTGAGGACATTCACCCAGTGACTGAAAGCCACAGTCCTCAGCCTTCATGTGGCACCAGTGTGGGCCCCTATCCCCAGACCCCCAGGTTCCTTTCCCCTTGGAACTTTCTTGGCAATATGCTTCCATGTCATGAGCATCTTCAGGAGCCAGAAAGACCATCAGCCTAAACTAATTTCAGTGGGTTTCCTACCCAGGGCCCCCCAGCCACTGAGAATCATGGGTATGGTGATGGTGCCTCCAAGGCCGAAGAACAGCACCCCCACCCTCAACTTGGAATTCTTGGGTGCTGTCAGCCACCACTGCCCAATCAGAATCAAGCGAGCATTACATCAGGATGACACCTACATCACCTGGGATCCTCATGACAATATTGCAAAGTGGGTCTCACTGGACATCTTTATACATGAGGAGACAGTTTCAGAAAACCCAGCTTGTAAGTGGCAGAGCTTGGGACCCAGGTTTTCATCTTCTTCCCAGCCTAACCACCCCCATTTTTTGGTCCTCAAGGGCCCTTCGTTACTGGTCTAGGCTGTATCAGGAGTTGGAGTCACTCCTGCCTTAATCTTCCAGCTCAGACAAGCCTGCATTTATTTCTGAACACTCTCCCCAAATTATTAACCACGTCAAAGCCTGAGACCCATCTCATGAAACCATCATACAAGTTGCTTTGTTCTCCCCTACAAGTTATTCTGTTCTCTCCCCTCCCTTGAATCTCACTCCTGCCTAACCAGACCTGAGTTCTGAGGAAGGGCTGTCACTCTCTTCATGTCAGGGGACTGAAAGTCCAGTCTAGTCCTTGGGGCTCCAGTGAGAGCTCAGTTCTTGGGAAAAGGGTGCACACTAAGGTAATCAGGGGGCGGGGCATGTTGTGTCCCCCAATGACTGCAGCCTGCCAGAATCACAGCCTTCTGCTCTGGCCAAGCTCAAAGGACCTGGTATGATGGGGGTACACAGAGGTCAGTCCTGCCACCAGCTCCTTGGGAGGGCTTAGACACAAGGACAGTTTTCGATCTCAGCTACGGGGACTCGGTGACCGTCAGCAGGGTTTCTGAAATGAATTGACTTGGCACGAGCTCACAGACAAACTTGTCATGAAAACTCAGGCCTGGGACAGTCGCCCCTTCTGAAGCTGATAAGTTCTAAGGAAAGATGCAGGGGGGAGGGAGGTTCTGGACAAAGATGATCCCCAGGGCAGAGAACGCCCCCCACCTTTCACTTCAAAGTTCCAGTCCCCACTATGGCCACCATCACTAACTGCTCAGCCTAGGAACGAAACCCAATTGGGGCTGATTCTATTAGGTGAGAAAGATTTGCTCTGGGCCGGGAAGTGTGGACATTTGGCCAGGGTCCCGCAGGCAAAGGGAGCACCTTCCTTCACTGGCCCTGGGGTGGGGTAGCAGTTCCTGGTGCAGGAGCTCTCCGCGGTCCTGAACGCGATCTTCCTTCTTCAAACCTGACTGCCGCCAGCCCGACCCACCCTCATGTACACACTGGCACTCAGGCTCTGGACTGAGTTCTCTCTGAGTTGAAAAGGCAAATGGGATCCTTCAGTCTCTTCCTGCCTTGATCCTTCCCGTCATGATCATCCCAACCCCCCCCCCCCACCCAGGGGGGTTCTCCAACCAAAAGACCTTTGTAATGATGCCTGCATGACTCCTTATGGCCACCTGGTGCTGGGTGGTCCCAGCCCTTATCTGACTTGCTGGTGCCTGTATTCAGTGCTTCCCTGCCTTCTCGCCCTGAAGACTTCACTTAAAAGGCAGGAGCTCAAATAGAATCAGGACTGAAAGTTCAACCACCCTCCCAAGCCCCATGAAATCTTTTCTTTTTTTCTTTTTGGGTTACACCCAGCAATGCACAGGGGTTACTCCTGGTTCATACACTTATTGTAATTACTCTTGGCTGTGCTCAAGGGACCATATGGGATGCTGGGGATCAAACCCAAGTCGGCCGCATGCAAGGCAAACGCCCTACCCGCTGTGCTATCGCTCCGGGTCCGCCCCATGAACTCTTGCCTAGGCAGGCAATGCCTTATTCTCACCTCCTCCAACGCTGGGTGAGCTCCCCAGAATTTCTAGGCGACACACTGAGCTTTCAGTAATGTTCATATTTTCTGTTGCCCCAAGCCCAATAAAGTCTCTGCTGGCCTCCCAACCTACGTCAGGTTGGAGGGTGTTGGAATGCCAGGGGCAGTTGCAGTGGGCCTACACCTTCCCGCAGATGCTCTCCTGGACACCCAGACTCTGCCTACCCAGGGACATGGTCCCAGTCAGCTGCAAGAACCCTCACCAAACCTGGGACTCCATGGAGGCCATCTTCCTCATAGCCATCGTCCCCGCTTTTTTAGATATTGGAGTCTTTGTCTTCTCCTTCTCTTTGGTTTTTTCCTGCTTCTCCAGCTCCTCCATGTAGGCATCGTATATTTCCCACTAGGCCAGAATAAAATGAGAGGTATCATCTCAGGCGAAACTCTGCACCCTGCCAGCAGCTCTTCAGCCATTAGGGGTGGAGGAGTTGATTGTGTGTCCCTCTTGCCTCCATCCCATGCGTCCTTAGCATCTGCTTGGCCCATTGCAGCTCAGTGTACTTGCTGCCCTCCATCGGTTATAGGACAGGATGAGGAGTTTGTAGGCAAATTGCAGATTAGATTTGCCCACCCTAAGTATAGCTGCACTGTCAGCTAGCGATCAGAACCGTTCCCGGCTAATACCCCTACCAGAGGCCAGAGAGAACACACAGGGTTCCAGCACTTGTCTTGCATGCAGCCGACCCCAGTTCAGTCTCTGGCACTGTATATGAGCTCCTTGGGCTCTGCCAGGAGCAACCCCCAAGTTTACAGAGCCTGGAGTCATCCTTAAGCAACCACAGGTGGGGATCAAAACCATAAATTAATAAATAAAATCCCTACCAAGCAGGAGAAATGGGCAGACATCAAGTTGGCTTGCATTTGCAGGTGATATAAAGGATTGCAAGCCAGGAGCTTGAAAGAAAGCCTCCACCTTCAGCGTAGAGACAGGATTAACCCTACTTGCAGGGGCTGGCTGTCGACAGCACTGACCCCACCTCCTAAGGATAAACAGCACTGTAGCACTGTGGCACTGTCCGACCATTGTTCATCGATTTGCTCAAGCGGGCATCAGTAATGTCTCCACTGTGAGACTTGTTGTTACTGTTTTTGGCATATCGATAAACAGAAAGGAAGGAAATCCTTGCCTGGCATCAAGAGAAGCCCAAGGACAGCTGCAGAGAGACAAGCAGGATGCTGAGCTGGGGGCATGTGACTGGTCTGGTGGCCACTAGGTCAGGGCCTTCTGTCCCAGGTACCTGAGGCTCAGACATGGAGCGGGGGGATGGGTAGAGGAGGTGGCCGGAGGACTCCCTTGCTGCACACTTCTCTCCCTTGTTGCCCAGCCTGGGGAGAATGCATTGGTGGGGGTGGAATGAGTGACAACTGGTAGACTGGTCAAGGTCTCACCTGATTGGCTGTGGCTGAAAAGTTTGTCCTGGGAGGGGGCTCCATCTGGCATTCCCGGTTCTAGAGAACAATGACAACAGGAACCCCCCGCCCCAGAAAGCCTTTATCATTTCTCACTTCTCCAGGGGAAGATTTCAGTTAGGGCTGAGGGTGGGGTAGGACTGGGACTCCCACAGGGCAAGTCTCTCTGTCTGTCTGTCTTTTGCTAGCTTGCTCTTTCTTTCTCTCTCTTCCCCAACTGCCTTTATGGCAGGCACTTCTCTCTTTCTCTCTCCCTCTCCCTCTCCCTCTCCCTCTCTCTCTCTCTCTCTCACATACACACACACACACACACACACACTCCCTCCCCACCTCTTTTCCCATCAAAGCCTCCTACAGAGGAATGCCAAGCTACAGACGAGGGGCAGTGGAGACTGGAAGTGCCAGCTTCTACAGAAAGATCCCGAGGTGGGTGGAGGGTGCAGGGACAGCTAGACTCGGGTCAGCCCCCCGCAGAACTCAGAGGCCAATGTCTCTCAATCTGGGGGCAGTTCCTCCCTGAAGCTGGGAGTCTCTCTGACTCCACAGCCCAGAGGCATGCCCCTCGTTATGGTGTGTCAGTCCTGAATCCCAAACACCTGCATGGTGACAGCACGGAGTACAGCTGAGGGGCTGCCCCGAAGCCCAGCCTTCGTTCCATCAGCACAGAACAGCCTCCATGTGAGAGTCTCTCGCCTGACCAACCTCCCAAGGGGGCCTGGAACTTAGGGAGTCGGGAACGTTTTCTAGCCTGCCCTGGCAGGGATCTTCAGCTTCAGTCCAGGGAACTCAGTTCCCTGTTCCCCCAACCCCCACCTTTCTCCCATAGAACCTCCTCTTCAGGGCTTAAATCAAGTTCCCCGGAGCCTGGAGGGGTGGCAGTCTTCTCACTCTACTCTCCCTGAACCTGCCCTCTGAGCCGGGACCTGAGCCCAGGCTGCCCAGCTCTCTTGGGGGACAAAGGGGGAAAAGGAAAGAAAACAAACAGCCGGGTCACAGGGCGGGGATGGGTGTTGTCTTCCTCCCTACCCGCATCTGGCTGTTGAAGGTCTGCGAGGCCCTCTCGCTGAAGTTGAACTTGTTGGTGAGCTTGCGTTCCAGAGGCTGCCTGGGTGTCAACAGCTCCTCCTCAATGACGGCTTCAGCCACCTAGGACACAGCCCTTACAGCACCAGCCTCAGGGGAGTCCTTGGGGAGTGGAGGGCAGACAAGGAGTGTGTGTGTGTGTGTGTGTGTGTGTGTGTGTGTGTGTGTGTGTGGAGGGGGGACTGGAGCGATAGCACAGCGGGTAGGGCGTTTGCCTTGCACGCGGCTGATTCAGGTTCGATTCCTAGCATCCCATATGGTCCCCAGAGCACTGCCAGGAGTAATTCCTAAGTGCAGAGCCAGGAGTATCCCCTGTGCATTGCCGGGTGTGACCCCAAAAAACAAAAAAAAAGAGAGTGGGTGGTGCGGTGGGCAGTGGGAGACGGTGATGATGCCAGAGCCGTTGGCACCTCTGGCCAGGGTCCTTGCCCCCCATCCTGAGTCGCCCCTGCAGCCCCTGCACATGGCTGGCATTGCAGCAGGAGAGGGTGGGAGTGGGGGGCAGCAGGGCCCGCACCTCAGTGTTCGTTTGGCTGCCAGTTTCTGCCTCCTTGGGCTCCTCCTCTTCTTCAAGGTTCTCGTTTTCTGAGATCACCACCTTGACAGACCCCTCAGAACCTGGGAAAGATGGTGCCAGGAGGTGCCAGGGAGGGGCCGGGGGTTTAGCAGCAAGTGATTTAACCCCTCAACTGCTTCTATGGCCTCTTAGCCCCTGCCCCACTTCCTACTACCCCTCCCCCCCCACCATGGCGTGATGCTCACACCTATTAGCACACAGTTTTGTCTTGGAAAGCTGGACCTGATACTGGGAAAGCCAGACCCTAACCCAGCAATCTGCTTCTGAGAGCTGCCAAGACCAAGGCCTACCTGCTGCCATCTCATCACGAAAGTGTTGCCGCCGGCCTTCATCGGAGTCTTTGGGGACCAGGTTCCCGACCTGGCTGAAGTGGACTGCCATTTGGTTCACAATGCCAATGACCTTGTAGGTGCCTTCCTATGGAGAGAGTGGGCTGGGTCAGGCAGGATGTTCCCCACAGGGCCTGAGTCAGAAAGGAGTTGAGTCAGGGGCCTGACGGGGGTGCCCAGAGGCTACTCTGACAGATACTCGATCAACCAGGCAGGGTTCGGTGCCAGGCCCTGGGGGTGTCATGCTGCTGCTGATCAGACACCTGCCCTGACCCCTATACTCTCTCCCTGACCGCGACGTCGTTTGTTTTATATCTAGATAATGAAGTTCTCGTCAAAGGCTTATTAAAAAATACTTTCTCAGTAGGTAAAGGGACATACATGATAACCTTTCAGTATTTGTATTACAGAACATCATGCCCAAAATATGAAAGAGAGAGAGAGAGAGACACACACACACACACAGAGAGAGAGAGAGAGAGAGAGAGAGAGAGAGAGAGAGAGAGAGATCGGAGGTGCCTACCATAGAGGCTAGCTGGGATTTCGGGGAAAGAGTTGGGGTTGGGTGGGAGGGAAACATGGGACACTGGTGCTGGAAAACTACACTGGTGGAGGGATGGGTGTTGGAACATTGTATGACTGAAACCCGATCATGAACAGCTTTGTAATGGTCTATCTCACTTTAAAAACAAAACAACACAGGGGCTGGAGAGATAGCACAGTGGGTAGGGCATTTGCCTTGCATGCGGCCGACCCGGGTTCGATTCCCAGCATTCCATATGGTCCCCCAAGCACCGCCAGGGGTAATTCCTGAGTGAAGAGCCAGGAGTAACCCCTGTGCATCGCCAAGTGTGACCCAAAAACAACAAAAAAAAAAACTTTCTCAGGTTAAAGCTGTGGCTGACTGACATTGGCTACCATCCAGATAATACATCCTTCTCTCCTGGAAGGGAGCAACATGACCCTGTGCCAGGCTTGTTTCACTACTCAGGGTGCCCCAGGGCAGGGGGGGAGTGGGCGAGACTCCTCCCTGGCCCAAGGGACCCAGCCCTGGCAGCCAAAAACCTCCGGAACTCAAATGCCACCCTGCTCACAGCCACTCTCCACATGCTCAGGCTGAGCCTCATCCACAAGTAAACCTTTCCCTGGACTGTGCAGCTGCATTTGCAGCCCCTCGACAATTCATAGGACACATCCTACCCATAGTCCAAGAGTACTGCAACACATTTGATGGGATTCAAAGTAGGAGGCAACCAACCTCAGAGGGAAATATTATATTATTTAGGTTCAGTTTTGGGGCAGGGATTGGGATTTGGGATGGAAACACCCGAAATATGGTATGGTGGTGGGAGGTATTTGAATATTAAATGTAATCAAATATTGTGAACTGTCACTGTCACTGTCCTCCCATTGTTCATCGATTTGCTCGAGCAGGCCCAGTAACTTCTCCATCATGAGACTTTGTTGTTATTGTGTTTGGCATATTGAATACATCGCGGGGAGCTTGCCAGGCTCTGCCATGCAGGCGAGATACTCTCGGTAGCTTGCCGGGCTCTCCGAGAGGGGCGGAGGAATCGAACTCAGGTCGGCCATGTTGGCTGCGTGCAAGGCAAATGCCCTACCTGCTGTGCTATTGCTCCAGCCCATTGTGAACTACTTTATAAAATAAAAAATTAAAAAAAAAGCTGCAGCTGAGTGTGCGCCTTACACGTGGGAGGCCCGGTTCCTTCCACAGCTCTGCAGGGTCGGGCAGAGCTTTCAAATGGCAAGGAACTCTGCAAGCAGAAGCCCAGGGTTCTGTTCCTGGCATTAATACTGCTGGGTGTAAAAACAAACAAAACAAAACAAAATCTCTAGCACTACAAGGAAAAAACAATTTTTTAAAAAAAATTTAAAAGAGATTAAGTACCTTCTCTCATTCTCCTTCCAACTTTGAGAACTTCTGAACTTGGCCGTCTCCAGCACACAGGCCTTGTCCCTACATCTGTTGGGATGCAGGGATGTAGGGGTCCTGGCCCATCTGGCTCATCACAGAAGTTGGGCAGGTCACACAGCCATCAATTCACCTGACCTGACCCTTGTGCCCACTCATCTCAGTGGGCTCCAGGGCTCATCAGAGTTTCAGAAACACCAAATCCCCAATCATCTATTCAATCCTAAAGGACCACAGAAATCCTGTTTTGGGTTTGGCATTTCTCCAGGTTACACAGCAAATGAGAAGCAGGACTAGGCTTCGAGCCCAGGAAACACTGTTTATTCCTTCTTTAACAAATGATTTTTTAAATAGACACAATGTGCCAAGTGTTTTCTAGGTGCCAGGGGTAGAAAGCTTCAGCAAAAGCAGACGCAATCCCAGTTCTATGTCTGTCCCCGCTATGGTCTGTCCCCGTCTATGGTCTGTCCCCGCTAGACAGGCTGGCTCTTCACTGACCTGCACTCTTGTCCTAAAGTTGACATGGAGACCAGAGATCTCCTCCTTCTTTTATTGCTATTTTATGTAATTAAAACTTCTATTACAGCATAGGAAATGTAATTACAGGAGTGTTAGTGCTTATGGTTTTGACTACTGCCCCTTCCTCACCACAAAAGTGCCCCCAACCATCCACCATAGCCCTGACGCCAATCCTGGTCCACACCTTAGTTTCCCTGCCTTTACCACCACTGCTTGGTAATCACAGATTAGGGTATTTTTGGTTTGGTTTTTAGGCCACACCTGGTGATGCTTGGGAGGTATTCCTGGCTCTGGGCTCAGGAATCACTCCTGGCTGTGCTCAGTAGGCCAGGGAAGAAGGTTCCATAGGCCTGAGCATGGACTTTGCAAGCAGGAGCCCAAGGTGTGGTCTCTGGCACTGATCATCGCTTGAGTACTGCCAGGAGTGAGCCTGAGCACAGTAATAGGGTGTGGCTCCTCAGTAAAAAAACAGTAACCAATATTAGACTCATGGAAATTCCCAGGGGATAAATTACCCATAGAGCTGTCATTTTTATATATTTATTTTTGGCCACACCCACAATGATCAGGGGTCATTTTTGGCTCTGCACTCAGGAGTCACTCCTGGCCGGGCTTAGGATGCATTAGCTGGGGTGCCGGGGATTGAACCCAAGTCAGTCACAGGCAAGGCAAACGCTCTATTCTCTCCAGCACTGGAGCTGTCACTGTCACTGTCACTGTCCTCCCGTTGTTCATCAATTTTCTCGAGCGGGCCCAGTAACTTCTCCATTGTGAGACTTTGTTGTTACTGTGTTTGGCATATCAAATACGTCACGGGTAGCTTGCCAGGCTTTGCCGTGCGGGCGAAATACTCTCGGTAGCTTGCCGGGGTCTCCGGGAGGGGCAGAGGAATTGAACTCGGGTTGGCCATGTTGGCTGCGTGCAAGGCAAATGCCCTACCCGCTGTGCTATCGCTCCAGCCCAAATAGATTTTTGGCATATATATTAAGTAGCACTGCACTGCACTGTCCTCCTGTTGTTCATTGATTTGCTCGAGCGGGCCCAGTAATGTCTCCATTTTGAGACTTGTTGTTACTGTATTTGGCATATCAAAGACGCCACGGGTAGCTTGCCAGGCTTTGCCATGCAGGCGAGATACTCTCAGTAGCTTGCCGGGCTCTCCGAGAGGGGCAGAGAAATTGAACCCGGCTTGGCTGGGCTGGCTGCTTGCAAGACAAACACCTTACCACTGTGCTATTGCTCCAACCCCCTGTCATTTTATCTATCTATTTATTTATTTATTTATTTATTTATTTTATTGAATCACCATGAGATACAGTTACAAAACCTTCATGTTTAAGTTTCAGTCATACAATGATCGAACACCCATCCCTCCACCAGTGCCCATTCTCCACCATCAATGTCCCTAGTGTACCTCCCCCCCTTTCCAGTGTTCCCCCTGTGGCAGACAGTTTCCCCCATACTCTCTCTCTATTTTGGGGCATTATGGTTTGCAATATAGATACTGAGAGGCTATCACGTTCGGTCCTTTAACTACTTTCAGCACATACCTCCCATCTTGAGCCATCCCTCCAACCGTCATTGACTTAGTGATCCCTTCTCTATTCTGGAGCTGTTATTTTAGATCTCATCTTCATGTTGTCCCTGACAGTGGGGGACTAGGACCATCCTCTTGAGTTTAGAGATGGAACTCATGCTCCCTGTCTAGAGGGCAGTTGGTCTCCATTCCAGTGTCCAGCTGAAAGTGTATCCAGCTTTCAAAGATCCAATAGTTGATATAGTGAACAATGAACTGTCCACCTTGGAAGAGTAGTTTTCCAACCCAACAATTGTCTTCAGGATTCTTAAAAAAAGAAGAAAAAAGGATGGCTCTGTAGAGCCTTCATTCATGAGCAAGATGGCAAAGGAGATTGATAAAGAGTTTCAAAAGCCTGGGGCCGGAGCGATAGTACAGCAGGTAAGGCATTTGCTTTGCATGCAGCTGACCCGGGTTCAATCCACAGCATCCCATATGATCCCCCGAGTACCACCAGGAGTAATTCCTGAGTGCAGAGCCAGGAGTAATCCCTGTACATCACCAGGGTGACCCGCCCCCCCCCCAAAAAAAAGGAAAAAAAAGAATTTCAAAAGCCTTTGGAAAATTTCATGTTGAATATCAGGGTTGAGAACCTCAGGCTATTTATTTTTATTAAAAACACTGTGGTTGATAAAGTTGTTATATATGTAATATATATATACATATATATGTATATATATAGAGAGAGAGTTGTTTCAAGCATTTAGTGATTCGACACCACCAGTGTGACCTTCCCTCCACCAATATCCCCAATTATCCTCCCAATCCCAACCTGCTCCCTTAGGCACTAACAAATTCACTTTACATTGCTTTTTCCAATAATTCTTTAGAAATGGCTAATAGAATGATCAGAAAATAAATCATTAAGAACCAACTTATGATTTGGCCTATGTAAATCACTGTCACTGTCACTGTCACTCCTGTTGTTCATTAATTTGCTTGAGTGGACCCAATATCATTGTGATACTTGTTGTTACTGTGTTTGGCATATCCAATACATCATGGATAGCTTGCCAGGCTTTGCCATGCGGGTGAGATACTCTCAGTAGCTTGCCGGGCTCTCTGAGAGGGGTGGATGTAAATAAGCAAATTAAAGCTAGTTAATACAATATAATAATAAAATGCCTATTCTCATTTACACATATAAGTTTTCAACTCTGGAATCTAAAGTATATTGCATTAAATTTTATTTTCTACATGGATCTCATTATGGTAATAATCATGTCTCACCCATCATAAATACTGTCACCATCCTCCCACTGTTCATCGATTTGCTCGAGCGGGCCCAGTAATGTCTCCATTGGAGACTTTGTTGTTACTGTGTTTGGCATATCGAATACATCACGGGGAGCTTGCCAGGCTCTGCCGTGCAGGTGAGATACTCTTGGTAGCTTGCCGGGCTCTCTGAGAGGGGCGAAGGAATCGAACTCGGGTGGGCCATGTTGGCTGCGTGCAAGGCAAACGCCTTACCGCTGTGCCATCGCTCCAACCCATCATAAATAAAACTTTTTTTTTAAAGTGTAGCCATGAACAGAAAGCTAGCTTTTATCTATTTATTGAATTATTGAATTTTGGCATCGCTCCTACGGTACTCAGAAACTACCACTAATTATTCTCTGTCACTCACAGTGGTATTGGGTAGGTACTTGGTTTTTAAGGTTTATTTATTTATTTTTATTTATTTTTCTTTTGTGGGTCACACCTGGTGATGCACAGGGGTTACTCCTGGCGGTGCTGGGGGACCATATGGGATGCTGGGAATAGAACCCGGGTTGGCCACATGCAAGGCAAATGCCCTACCCGCTATGCTATTGCTCCATCCCCATAAATAAAAATTTAAAGCAATCCTACGTTGATGTATTTTGGAGTTTACATGGAACAGGTAAAGTAGACCTACCTATGTAAATTTTTTCCCTACACTTTATTATTATTTTTTAACAATTATTTTGGCTTTTTGGGTCACACCCAGTGTTGCTCAGGGGTTTTTCCTGGCTCATGCACTCAGAAATTACTCCTGGCGGTGCTCAGGGGACCATATGAGGTGCTGGGAATTGAACCCGGGTCGGCCAAGTGCAAGGCAAATGCCCTACCCACTGTGCTATTGCTCCAGCCCCCCCCTACACTTTATATATACGCTGTGGTTTACAAAGTTGTTATGATGATTGGTTACAGGCACTCAATACGAGAACCTCAGTTTAGAGGTGGTCTCCTGAATCGCTGAGGAGCTTCTGCAGTGTGGCCACCAAGCCAAGCCGCCCCTTCAGGCCCCAGAGGAGATGCAACTTACTTTGAAGCTGTACCTGACAATGTTCTGGGGAGCGTGTGGATTGTTGGCCGTCAGGATGCGAGTAAACTCCTCCTTTAGCTCCTAAGGGAGAGAAAAACCAAGAGGTGATCTATGGTCCCCACCCGCCACCTCCGAGGCTTGGGAAGATCCAGCTGCCCCAACCCCTCACCAGGCTGTCAGCTGACCTCTCACCCCCAGGTTCCGTACAGACTCCCAGGAAGAAAGGGATTTCTGAGGCTGGAAGAGGAGGAAGGAGCCAGGCCGGGTGTGGTTCACCTACCGCATCTGTCAACTCCAGCTGGTCAGGGGGTCTAACTATGGTTTTGGATTGGGCCCATTCGTCTGTTCCTTCTCCCAATTCAGTGCCTGAATCTTCATCCTGGATTTGAGACCCCATGTGAGACTCAGAAGAGTGCCTGGGGAGCTTGGCCAAGCCAGCAACGATGCAGGCAACCCCTTCACTCACACATTATCCCTGCTCTGCCACCTGTTAGTTGACAACAGGTACAGCCGACCATTCATAGAAGGGTCTCGAGCAATAGCGAGGGCCAGTGTTCTCATTACTTAGAAGATCAGGACCATCTCAACCCTGGGGCCACACTGTGGTGGGCTTTGACCCCAGGAGAGGAACCAGAAGAAACTGGCTCCTCCCTCTAGCTTCCTGACTGCTGGCCAGGGTCCGCTGCTAAAGCCTGGACCTTCTGCAGAACGCATGGACTCGGCTCACCTTTAAGCTACTTCAACTCCAATTCATATTTTACTTTCTCATGTGCCACCTTAAGGCTACTCTTACAAAAATGATCTAATGCCTGTCATTTTAAAACTCATTGATTCTGGAAGCGCAAAAGAAGCAGTGATGAGAAGTTTTTTTTTTCTATGTCTCATAGGACAGTTGAATACCTTACTAAAGTGGCCTATGACATAGTAACAAAAATTCATTCTCCCTAGTACTCAAATATATGCAAATGGAGCAATGCATTTCACAATGAAATTGGGGTAAAACTAAAATAAAATATCCAGTGAGGGCAAAGTCGTGGGAAAATCGACAGACCCGCCCCACTCATTAGCACAAACTTTTTAAAGAGTAAATTTACAATCTTTATTAAAAAACTAATGATAGTTTGTACTCTGATTTGAATTTCTATGTACAGGAATTTATATTAGAGAAATTAAAAAATATATAAATAAATACACAAGTGTTTCCCTAATTGCTTAAACATATGAATGCTTATTGGAGGATTGATTAAACAAACTAGTGGAAAAAAAGAAATAGCTACACGTCCCATGATGGGAAGAGCTGGACAGATTATGATATGGCCTGAAGGAACATATGGCAAAATATTATGCAGTTATTTTAAATGATGCTATAAAAGTGCCTTTATTGGCAATGAAAATCCATCTAAATATATGATGTGAAAATCAGATTATAAACTAGCATAAGTATGAGATTTCATTTAAAAATAAATGCGTGTGACTTTTATATATGCATAGAAATATCTAGGAAGATAGAACCTTGTGTTAATAAGAAATTTCCTAGGGTGGTAGGTTCTCTTTACTCATTTAAACCTTCTGAAAGGATGCAGCTAACATTTATCACAGAAAAGTTGCCGTTAGCTTCTTGCTGTGAGCCTGCTGATCTGAGCACTTACTCTTTTCCTGGCTCCTTTGCCCACGTTGAAGCTCTGAAAGGACAGAGACAGAAGGTAAATGGCTTGCAAATCTTCCTGGGAGCATCAGACACAGTGTCCTAGGAAAGCCTACCCCCAGATCCCTGCAGACAAAGGACGTGGAGGGTTCTTGTCACAGGACAGCCACTCTGTGGGCCTCTTAGTCCAGTGAGGAGCTGCCCCATCAGACACGCTGACCTGCACGGACCAACCAGTCAACTGATCGTAGAGCATTTACTTGAAAATAGCTCCACCAATTTTTTTTTTTTGTAAAGAACATATGAAGCACTCAGCTCTGGGATAGGCACTAAGGGGATTTTGAGGGTGTTTTCTATCCCTTAAATGCCTGCTTGGGACACACGTCAGCTTTCGTAAGCAGGCCTTTGGTTTGGTACATTGCTCCTCTATCTCCAGCACTTCCGACCCTGCTCAGAGGAGAGGAGATGCTCCCAGGGTTTGTTGAATCAGGGACTAAGCTCTCAAACCTGTGAGTCAGCGTGACCCGGGCGGAAATGTTTTGCCTTTCTGGGCTTCAGCTTCTTCATCAGCAAAATGCACAGGCCTGGCTATGATGGCCTTCATAGGCTAAAATGTTTCCAAGAACAAATATAATCAATCCCCCCCGACAAACATTGGCTGAGCTTCCATTTATGCAGGGAGCACTCTCCAAGGCCCTGGGACCTACATGAAGGAAGATCAGGTCCCTACTCCAAGTTTCTCAGTGTCCAGGGCCAGACGTGTCTGACCAAAGCCCGTGGACTTTTCACCTACCCCCTCACTCGCTCACTCGTACACTCACTCAGCATATGTTCCCTTGAAAGTCTGCTGTGTGGCAACACACACACACACACACACACACACACACACACACACACACAAAGCTGCAGGGTTGCCCAGAGGCACCTACCCAGCCAGGCATAACACTAGAATGTGTTTTGTCCAGAGAGAGCAAAAAGTTTTTCAGAGGCTCTCTCCAGAGGAAGAAAAGGTCATAGATGAAGATAAAGGGGAACTGTGACCATCAGAAAGTCAAAAAGTCACCGCAAACAGAAACTGCGTACGCACACAGAACTAGCAAGCGTTTCAGAGAAAGGTGCAAGAGGGTGGAGGCTGAAAGGGCCCTGTGAGGGCGGGACTCTTGGAAGCATCAGGCCTGGGGCAAAGGTGGGTAGGGGGGATGCAGGGTGCTCTCAAAGGCCCCAGAGAAACCTTGGGGCTCCTGTTGGTGATAGCATGGCACACTGGGTCCTTCGGTTTGTTTTGCTTGGGGAGGGGCATACTAGGTGGTGTGCAGGGGCTTCTCCTGGCTCTGTGCTCCAGGTTCTGTCACTCCTGGCAGTGACCAGGCGGTGCTGGGGATCAAACCCGAGTTCCTGCATGCAAGGCAGGTGTCAGCCCATCTTCTCAGATGGCCCACGGGCAGAGACCTGCGAGGAGTCGCTCCCATCTCCCTGTGATCTGGGCGGGAAGTCTGAGAACCCTGGTTTTCCAAGTGCAAAGAGAGATTTACACGGGGTGGGTGACTGCGGCTCCTTCCCGCAGGCTTTGATGGCAGTGGCAGGAAAGGGACCCCGGGGGTGGGGAGGAAAAAAGCATGTCTCAGCTTGGGCTGGGATTGTGGCTCGTAGGACAGCAGCAGGGTGCAGATTTCTGCCAGGTTGCCAAGGTTTCCAGGGGTGGGAACCCCTCTCTGAGGCTAAGCTGTATGAGCCAGAAAGCTGCTTCCCTTTGAAGAGCCTCTGATCCCTAAGGTAACGGGATGGAAGCGTCACAACGTCCAACAGCTTTCTGGCCCACAACAGAGCCTCGCAGGGCCAATCCCAGCCCAAACTGCCAGCCTTAAATAGAAAACGGGCTCCAGTTACCACTGCCCCCCATAAATATGTCTGTAAAACATTTATCTGGCAATAAAAGAACTGACAAGGCAATTTGAGTGTAATTGTTTTTGGCAGTTGGAAATATTTCAATTAACACACTATAAAAGCCACACTATAATAAATGCAAAACAGGCCAATGAAATCAGCTACAGCCCCGACTTCCCAACCATGGCAAAGGGAGATTGAATGTCAGGCTGCCACTTTGGGCCCTTGGTCTTCCAGAAGGAGAAGCCTGAGACAGACAAGCTTGAATTCCTGAAAAGCTTTTGATGGTTCCTCCCAGAAGCCGTCAAACCACAGAAGTAAGCACCACCCCCGCTCTTCTGGTCCCCAGAACTCTATCATCTGGCTCCGTGTCTCCATCGCCATCCACTCCCCTACCCTTCCTGGGCTAGTGCTTCGGGATGCAGCCCCCTGAGGCCACTCTTGAGCCCAAACTCTTGCCTTCCCATGCTTGCGCCTTTGACCTCACCATTCAGAAATGTCCTTTCCCCCTTCCCCTCCTGCTCCCACCATCACTGCCCACTAGCCTCGGCTCATCTTTTAGATGAGCCCTGACATGCTGCCTTCTTACTTCCTCCTCCCTCCGTTCTCTTCTTCATTCCCAGCAAGGCTCTCCCCATCACAGTATTGGCGATGGGGGCTGAAGGATATCTGTATTCAAGTACACTCTGTCCTCCCTGGGCTTGGCTCTGCAAAAGGAAAGAAACAGACGACAGTAGCCGCTGGAGAAGGCAGCTTGGAGATGCCACTATTTTTACTCTTTGAACCAGGAGAGGCCTCTTGGATGCCATTCTGTTAGGTCAGGGAGGATGGCCAGGGAGGGTGGAATGAGACAAGCAAACAAAATCCTCCCAGCCTCCATGGGGCCAGATTCCTGGGGTGATCTGGGGATGACAGGTGTGTGCCCCCAATCCCTCCACAGTGGAGCCCTGTGTAGCTTCTGCTGCTGCCGACTTTAGTGTGTGCATCCTGGGGACAGGAGCTGTGTCTCGCTCATTTGGGGGCCAGTAGCAGAGGGTTGCGTGTGGATGGAGCCCATCTGCCTTACAGAGGTCATGGGTAACAGTTGCCTAGTGCTCACTTCCCAGTTCTCCTGTAGGCCTGACATTGCTGAGGGTTCCCTCCCATCTCCAAACTTCTCTTTGACCTTCATTTCCAACCTCTTTAATTGCTCCTTCTCAATATCCTCAATTCCTGGGGGCAGGAATATAATCCTATTTGTTTTGTTTTGAGGTCCGACACTTTGGTGCTCAGGGGTTACTCCTGGCTCTGCACTCAGGAATCACTCCTGGTGGTGCTCAGGGGACCATATGGGGTGCCGGGTATTGAACACAGGTTGGGTGCATGCAAGGCAAGTGCCCTACACAATGTACTCTTTTTGAGACCAAGAACACATTCTTTTTTTTTCTTTTTGGGGTCACACACAGCGATGCTCAGGGGTTACTCCTGGCTCTGCACTCAGGAATTACTCCTGGCGGTGCTTGGGGGGCGTATGGGATGGCAGGGATTGAACTGGCATCGGCTGCGTGCACGCTGTACTATGGCTCCGGCCCCAAGAATACATTCTTGACACCTTTATCATTTCACGCTACACACTCCGTTCGGGAGCTCTTATCCTCATTCGAGATACCTTCAACTTCTACCTTCTGGTGAAACACAAATCTACAGCCTGGACTTCCCAGAACTTCATGCTCAGACCACTCAAACCCAGTATCTTAAAAATCCACTTCATTGGGATGAAAATATAGTACAGGGAGGTTCCAGTGCTTCCCTTACACATGGCAGATGCAATCTGAGCCCCAGCAAAGCTGAGAATCATCGAGAAGCAGGCCAGGTCTCGAGGGCATCACTTGAGAGCCCCCCTCCCCAATCAACTTCGGTGTGTTCTTTTCCCACCACAACTTCCATTTCCTCCAGTGTTTCCTATTTCGTCCCAAGGAACCACCATCTAGTTACCCAGGTTGGATATTCACCTGGGTAAGCATTAAAGCTGCCTACCCTCTCCTCATCCTTCCATTAGCATCCTGCTTCGATGTCTAATAATTCTATCTCTTGAATACAGTTCATAAGTATCTCCATTTATATTCTTCTTAATTCAGGCCTAACAGCTGGCTCCCGTTGCTTTCCCCGCAAACAATTATGTAACTATCATCATTTTCAGTTACTGAGCAATTTGTAGGCGGGCTGGTCATTTACCAAGCAATTTGTGCATATGATCTCATTTAATTTTATAACCACTTTATGGATTAGGAGCTACTGTTATTCCTATTTTACAGATGAGAATACTGAGGCATACAAAGATCAAATGACTGACCCAAAAGTGACTCAGATTAGAACCCAAACCCTTTAAAAAAATTTTTTTAGGCACCGTAATTTACAATGCTGTAAATGGTAGGGCTTCCTACACAAAATGTCCCAGGACCAAAATGTCACCAGGGTATCCATTTTCCCCCACCACTGCCCCAGTGAGTTTACCCCCGCCCCCCCAACCCCTTTGAGTTTCAAAGGAAAAGCATGAGTACACGTGGGACTCGAATGTTCAGTGGCTGAGAGCCACCTCCCCAGGCTGGATGTCAGCGATGGGAGGACAAAGGACAGGGGGAACGGAGAAACAGGACCCCAGCCCCAGGCTGGTCGGTAGTCAGTTTATTTCTCTCTTCTCCCCAGCGTAGTCTGATCTCTTCCTTTACAGCACAGGCGTAGTTGTAGTTTTGGTCATAGTGCCAGTCATCATAGTTCCATCATCCTAGACTCCTCATAGATCTCAAAGTCCTCTACCTCTTTGTCCTCGTCTAGTCCTTATCTTCATCATAGTCTAGTTCCCTCTCACCCCTTACAGCATAGATACATAGAAATCATGAAGGGTGAGGGTATACACATAGGTGGGGTTAAACATTATATAACAACAAACAGAGGTAAAGCCACTCTTTTGGGCCAAGTTCTAGGGGATTATTAAGGACAAAAATCTCATCTGAGGATTCAGCACTCCAGATTACTAGGAGATCCACTCAAGGGTGAGATTCCATCCAGATGTATTGCTTTATCCTTTCCTCAGCTAGTGATCCATTTAAACAATCATAGTAAATTTACCTCTTTATAATATTTCAGTCATTTTGTATGAACATAGTAAGACAT